TGGACTCCGACCCTCTCAGCAGACTGGGGCATGGCAAGGGATGTGGTGCTCCTCAGGCCTCACCCTCAGCTACTGTTCTCTTGGCAGATCCTTCACCTACATCAAGGAGCGATATGGTCCATACGTCGCAGGTGCCTATTTCGTCCTGAAGCAGGGAGGCGCAGTCAAGTATGACAGCAAAGGTGTCAAAATGGGGGTCCGGGGAGGCCACAGATCATCTCAGCCGCAGGCTCTTCAGTCAGGCAGGCATCCCTGAGTCCCCCAGTCTGTGCTCCCTACTGGCTGTGTGGCTTGGGGCTTGGTGCCAAGCTTCAGTTTTGTCATCTGTAAAATGGAATAGTAGTTGTATCTAACCTACAAACACATTTTGCAGTGTGAACACTTGTAGCCATCTGGAGCTACACATGTGCTCAATAAATACTAGTTTCTTTTTCGTCCTCCCCCCCCTTTCTTTTTTCAAGATTTTATTTATTTTTAAGGAGGGGGGGAAGACACGGGGGAAAGGGAGAGAAACATCTATTGGTTGCCTCTCGCATGTCCCCAACTGAGGACCTGGCCTGCAACCCAGATATGTGCCCTGACTGGGAATTGAACTGGCAACCTTTTGGTTTGCAGGCCAGTGTTCATTCCACTCAGCCATACCAGCCAGGGCCCCCTTACTTCTTCCTCCAACCTCTGGGGATTCCCCACCCCCTTTTCCTTCTTTTTTGAAAAGCACAATTTATATAGACTTCATCTACCTCTCATCTTTGTTCTAAAATTTTTACTTGGCTTGAGCACCTCTTCCAGTACCTTTCCTTAGAAGCGGTGTGCATGTCTGAAACTGTGTCAACTTTTGCGCATCTACAAAGATTCATAGGTTGTAGCTCTTTTCTCTTACATTATCAGTAATGTCTCTAGCTGTCAGCTTCCAAGTGCATGAAACTGGCCAGACAGTCCAACTTTGATGGGATTATCAGGGGATCTAATGTGACTAGACACCTACGTGCCTTAGAACAGGGCCATGGAACAAGTGCGCAGACACAAAATATGGGGCTGCAGAGTGGTCTCAAGCGACTGGAGGCTTGGGGACAGGCAGGGTATCCCCTGGCACTCCTTTTCTCCCTGCTTCCCAGGTTCCAGGGCCAGGAGTGGATTCGGTCCAGTGGGCGTCGCCCTTCTTCTCTTGAGTTGTTGAGTTTCCAGGCTGTACCTGTGGAGTCCGTGGATGCCAGTGACTGTGCCATCAACTATGAGGGCCTGGACAACCTCTGTGAGTTGGTGGGTGAGGTAGAGGTGGGCAAGGCTCTGCATTTTCCCTTTCATGGTGGGCTCTAGAAAGACTGCAGTGCCATCTGCTCTGTCCCCCTCACAGTGGCCCTGAAGGAGCTGCAGTCCCTGTCGCTGCAGCGCTGTCCCCACGTGGATGACTGGTGTCTCAGCCGTCTCTACCAGCTGGCTGACTCATTGCAGGAGCTCTCGCTGGCAGGTTGCCCCCGAGTATCCGAACGGGGCCTTGCCTGCCTCCACCACCTCCAGAACCTCCGAAGGCTGGACATCTCAGACCTGTCCGCTGTGTCCAACCCGGGCCTCACTCGGATCTTGGTGGAGGAGATGCTGCCCAACTGTGAGGTTCTGGGGGCTGATTGGGCCCAAGGCCTGAAGTCAAGGCCGGAGAAGCAGTCTCAGGACACAGCCAGCCCCACCCCTGCCTAGGCTGCAGCCCCCACCCCGTCTAGTTGGATCTCAGCGGGGCTGTGTTGAGTGTCTTAGGGTTTTCTCTCCTTCTGGCTTCCAGTTGGGCTCACTCATCTTGGGGGCTGGGGTGGAGTGAGGGGCGTGGCACTGGCAGATCAGGGGAAGGACAGCATGGGGTCCCTACCTGATGGGGGCCTAGCTGCAGGTCACAGCTCCTGTCCTCCTGTCAGGCAGCCCTTCCCACACGGTTCTCCTAGTTCCCGTATAACCACCTCCTGCCTCTCCAGGCCTGGGGCAGGTAAGGACTCCCGGCTGCAAGTAGCCCCAGGAAGCTGCATTGGCCACTACTGTGTTGAGACCGTTCTCACATTATCCCCATTGAGGTGTGCTGCTGTTTTCTGCCAGGACACACTGATACAGGGAGGGCTCCTGGCATTCTGTAGGGATGGCTATTCTGTGTGGGGCTGGTCAGCTCACTGCAGGGTCCAGCATCCCGGGCCTACATTCACTGGTCAGTAGCACTCCAAGTCCTCTTGTGTTCCAGCTTATTGAAGTCAAATTCAACTTTGTGTCTGCACTGTGAAAACTGATTTGGGCCTTTGAGATGTTTTTCCTTCACTAACCAGCCTAAGTTTTGTCGTTAGGAGGCGCTCAAGAGACGTTCCAGGAGTTGCAGGTCACTCCGCGCCTCCTGCAGTGCAAGTAACTTCTCCAGTGCCAGGTGGTCACAGCCTGCCCTGGCACCCTGCCCCAGCCCAGCAGTTTCCTAGAGGAGTGTCTCCACTGAGGCACCTCCCTGTGAATGACTCTACCACAGCCCAGAATTTCCAGTAAATTCCAAGGCACCTTACCACTGAATCCCTTGTCACTGCAATTTGCTATTGTGTTGAAGTGAATAATTCTTTATATTAAACTTTCTCTGTTCAAATTACTGTGGTTTTTCCCCCTCCCCTGATTGGATCCAAACTGATACAGCATTGGTATCCAGTGTTCCAGCAGACAGGCTCACAGAGAGGGATTTGGGGGGGAGGTGGCCTCCCATCAGGCCATCACAGGTTTCCTGCGAGGTGCCAGCTGAAGCACTTGACTGGTGGCAGTGAAGACCATCTGAAGGTAGGCTTTGGACAGGTTCCTTGCAGTGCCCTGGAGTGCTTGCAGAGACACAAGGACAAGCTCAGGTCTGTCACCTCGGCCCAAGTCACAGCCTGAGAACTGGAGCACTTCTGTGACAGTCCCAAAAAGTTCCAGCCAGAGGGCTGGTAGTACTGAAAGTACAATACAGCATTTAAGTTTGCAGTTTGATGATGGTTGAATCCCCAATTTCCTTTCTAATAGAGTATATTAGTGCCCTGTATGAGTGACCCCATAAATATCTGGGGTCAGATCTCAGCATGCCCCAGGGTACAGGTATTCACTACAACCTGCGAGGCAACACCTTGTACACTAAAAGAATTGCAAGACTTTCAAATACACATACAGCCAGAAACCTGGGGAAACAGTGGATTTGAAGGGTGTGAGACCAGTGAGGGTGGACATAAACTGGGGCCAAGTTCACTGGTACCCGGTACTTACTAGAGGTTCTGGATTTAATGAGTGAGCTTGTACAGCTGGGGGTGGTTCTAACAGCTGTTGTGGATGGGTGACTTGGACTCAACAACGGCCTGCAGTTAATGAGGCAAGAGGCCAGAAGGGGTCCAAAGGCTTAGGAGGGATGTTGGGTTGGGTTGATCATGGTCTGCATATCTTCCCCACCCCCAACTCTTGCAAAAGAAGGCACTTCTTGAGTCATTGATACTCAGCTTTCCCTATTCCCACTGCTGTGTGCTTTTCCACCTGACTGGACCCAGACTAATGCACTTACCAACCAAAACTGTATCCTCCGAGATTTCCAAACACCCGCAGGAGGGGCTGTGTCGCCCCCCCCGTGGAGAACCTCTGCACATCCTGGGAGTAGCTAGCTGAGCCAGGAGAGCTCAGGGGGCCTGAAGCCCTCTCCCCCAGCCCTGCAGGATGTGGGCTTGGACGCCCACCATGGGTGCCCAGGCCCTTGGCCCCAGCCCCTGATTGTCATCTCCCACTCCAGCTTTTATTTCATTACTATTCCCTGCTTCCTCCACATTGTCTTCCAACTTGTTCCATGAGCTCCATTATTCAAATTTAGGAGGAGACAATCAGCACTGGACAGATAGATAATCAACTGCTGCTGCTAACAGACAAGGTCTCTAAGACAGTCGTCCCCAACTTTGAGTCAGGTGAAGGGGGTCAGGCCAGGCTTGGCGCTACCCCAGGCTCCAGAAGGTCTAGGATGAGGAGGCCCCACCTGTCTGCCTCCCCAGACAGCAGAAGCCATGGGAGGGCATCAATGTGAAGACAGGCAGTCCCTCTCCTGTCCTGTGGGGGCTGGACATGCGTGCCCCCAAATCCCTGTGCAGTGTGGGCAGGGGCGCGGTGGGGAAGGTTAGGAAAGGGATCCGGCCCTGCTGGCAGGCAGCCAGGCTACCAAGGGGATGGATGTGCAAGGATGGCTCTGCTCCAAGGCTCCCTCTGTGCCTGCTCCTTCTCCTTCCATCTGGTCCTCCTGCTCCTTTCTCCTCCCCTCCCTGGGTCTGGCTCTGTTCGCAGACTCCCTCCTCTGCCCCCATTTGAGCCCCTCCACCTGCCTCTCTAAATCTTCCCCTCCATTCTCTCCCAAGGGGGCGGCTTCCTATCCACCTTTTCTCTCTCTCCCTTTCTCTCTCCTCATCCTCTCCCTGCAGTGCTCTCCTCTGCATCCCTGAGTCTCCATCTCCAGTCTCTTCTCTCTGCCTGCCCCTAAGGGTCTCCCTGTCTCCTCCTCCTCACCAGCCCCCTTCCCTAACCCACCCTGACTTGGCAGCAACACGCCCCACCTGTACCATCTCTGGCAGGCTGACCCATTCCTCAGCACATTTTCTGACGTCTCCTGTGATCAGGCCCCAGTGCCTTGGGCTTTGCCCCTTGGGGACTATGCCTGTCCCTGGGCCATTCCAACACTACTCAGCTCAGGCCTGGCTCTTGGTCTCACCCCTCCTCAGACCTCATCCGGAGCCCCTCTGGACGAGGTGGGCACAGTTTGTATCTGGCCAACCCTGCACCTTTCCCCCTCTCACCAGAAAACCAGCTCCAACAAGCCAGAGCCCCATCTCTCGTCAGCCTCTGCCCTCCCGCTCCTCCCAGCTCCTCAGGCACCGCCCAGGCCCCTGGGGCCTTCCCTTCTCCCCTCCCCGCCCTGCCCCGCCCCTCCGGACGGGCTGGGCTGGGCTGGGCTGGAGAACAACGACAGAGCCACAGCTGCCGGACCAGAGCCCAAGGCAGGGAACTGGGAGGGCCTGACCAGAGGCCTGGGGTGCCAGAGCCAGACCCAGAGGTAAAAAGCAGGGAGCAAATCCCTGGCTCCCCAGTCCCCAAAGTAGGGACAAGTAGGGCGAAGGAGATTGGATTTCTGCAACACAAAGGAGCTGACCCCAGTGATCCTGACTTCAGGTGAGGGGGATGAAGAGGGAAGAGGGGGACAGGCAGGTGGAAGGGGTTGTGCTGAGTGAAAAAAGCAGGTGTTGGGATGGGATTAGAGCAGTGATCCCAGGTCCAGGAATAGGAAAAGGGAAGAGCTGGGTCTTTGGTTGGGGGCCAGTTTAGGGTCTGGGACTAAGAGGCCACCACAGGGATTGGTGGGGACTGTGAAGGCCCATCCTGAACTCCAAAGCGCTCTGTGACTCCTATGCAGCTCCAGCAGCCACCCCTCCCCTGGGCTGGGTCATGCGCTGCCCCAAGTGCCTTCTCTGCCTGTCAGCACTGCTCACGCTCCTGGGCCTCAAAGTGTACATCGAGTGGACATCAGAGTCTCAGCTGAGCAAGGCCTACCCGGGACCCCAGGGCACCCTGCCAGTCCTCACACCCACCAGTCCTGAGCCCACCCTGCCGGCTAACCTCTCGGCCCGTCTGGGCCAGACTGGCCCACTGTCCTCGGCTTACTGGAACCAGCAACAGTGGCGGTTGAGAGCTCTGCCCAGTGGAGACAGCACTGAGGCAGGGGGCTGCAGGGCTTGGGGAGCTGCTGCTGCCTCTGAAATACCTGATTTCACCTCCTACCCCATGGACCTTCGCCGCTTCTTGCTGTCAGCAGCTTGCCGGAGCTTCTCTCGGTGGCTGCCTGACGGTGACAGTGGCCAAGTGCCCAGCTGTGAGGAAACCGGCACCCCCTACCTGCTGTTGGCTGTCAAGTCAGAACCAGGGCACTTTGCCGAACGACAGGCTGTGAGGGAGACCTGGGGTGGTCCCGCCCCTGGAATTCGGCTGCTCTTCCTTCTAGGGTCTCCAGTGGGTGAGGGAGGCCCTGACCTAGGCCCGCTGGTGGCCTGGGAGAGCCACCGTTATAGTGACCTGCTGCTCTGGGACTTCTTGGATGTTCCCTTCAACGAGACACTCAAGGACCTGCTGCTGCTATCCTGGCTCGTCCACCACTGCCCCAGCGTGAGCTTTGTCCTACAAGCTCAGGATGATGCCTTTGTGCACACTCCTGCCCTGCTTGACTACTTGCGGGCCCTGCCACCCAGCTGGGCCCGAGGCCTCTACCTGGGTGAGGTCTTTACCCAGGCCAAGCCCCTCCGGAAGCCCGGAGGACCCTTCTACATGCCTGGATCCTTCTTTGAAGGTGACTACCCAGCTTACGCCAGCGGGGGTGGCTACATCATCGCTGGGCGCCTGGCACCCTGGCTGCTGCAGGCGGCAGCCCGTGTGGCACCGTTTCCCTTCAACGACGTCTACATTGGCTTGTGTGTCCGTGCTCTAGGCCTGGTGCCCAGGGCCCACAAAGGCTTCCTCACAGCCTGGCCAGCAGACCGCATGGCTGACCCCTGCACTCTCCGGGACCTGCTGCTGGTGCGACCCCTCAGACCCCAGGACAGCATCGGGCTCTGGAAACACCTGCAGGACCCACAGCTCCACTGCTGAGCCTCAGTGGGGTCAGAAGGGGAGGGCAGACCTGGCCTGGGCCCTGGGCAGGGCCTTGGTGCCTGCCCCTTGCCCAGCCTCTCTGAGGCCTCAGTGTGAGGGAGAAGGTCCTGGAAACATAGATGTTTGAGCTCCTCCTGGGCCAGCTCGGGCTATGGGACTGGGCAGCAGAAGGCAGAAGACTGTTTTTGTTTTTGAAAAACATGCACTCTCCACTCTGAGGCCTGGAGTTGTCCTTGCGCCTGGGGGGCCTGAGAAGTTACGAGGGCAGAGTTCAGCCAACCACACGCTGCATACCCTGCCCTTTATACCAGACACCCCCTGCCCATCCTTACTAGATAGGCCAGCTCCAACAGCCTCCTGGTCAACTTGCTGGACACAAGGTTTGCCTCACCCCGTGGGAGAGCCGGAGTCCAACACCTCCACCCCCAGCCTGTCTGCTGAGGCTGGCCCTCCAGCTTGCACAAGTTTCCAAGGGAAGCAGGCAACTCAACGGCCTTGGTCTTACTCATCTAACTGAAGGGGCGGGGTCCCAAACCAGTCATGCAGGACTCTCCTCCCACCTCCAAAACTCCAGGAAACAGACCAAAAATGGCAGAGCGCCAAATGCAGACAGTTTATTCAATGCCTGCTGCCCACCTCTGACTGAGTAAGTTCCACAGGCTGACCTGCCATTCCTGCCTTCAGCCCAGAGGGGCTTCCGGTCCTGGAGGCACCCTTGCCCAGCCCCTGGGAGAAGGCACTGTAACCACAGTCAAAGTGGGGGCCAGTAGGGCCCCCCACAATGTAACAGCCTAGAGGAGTGGAGATGGTGAGCGGAAGCCCTGCCCCTTATCTCAGTTCTGCCCTGAGTGTCCTGGAGGGAGCTGGCTGCCAGCTCTCTCCAGCCCTCACTCAGTCTGGGGCTGCCTCTCAAGATGGGTGGGGTGGGGAGAGCAGGGTTCACTTCTCAAAGTGGTCCAGGGGGTAGTGCTCGCCATAGGTCTGGAGGTGACGGGTCAGGGACTCTTGCTGCTTACGGAGCTGGGCAGGCATCTCCTGATACACATCAGAGAAGAGCAGGCTGGGATTGGGTTTCAGCTTCCGCTCAGCCTCCTCAAAGGCCTCCATCACCTAGGAGACATGGGACAGTAGGCAAGTAGCCGGCCTCCCACCCAGGACCCTGCCTCCTACCTGTGGGACCTCGTGAGGCGTTAACCCGCTTGAGCCTCTGTGTTCCCATCTGGACAATGGAAATGATCACCATCACAGTGGGGACAGCTAACATCCCCATCAAGGCCCCCAATCCCAGCATCTCCCTCCTTCGCAGGACAAGGCACTAAGACTAAGCCTATGGAGTGTTTTCAGATCCAGCAGCCCTAAGAAGCAAGTAGCTCAGAGGTAGGGAAACCAAGCCATGGTGAAGGGACTGCCCATAACTGTGTAGCTAGGGGCAGCAGTGCTGCCTGAGGCCAGGGTCTGCCCTCACCAATGGCCTGTGTGGCCTCTGGCTACTGAGGACCAGGGACAGGAGAGACAACAGGCTGGCTCTAGTCAGGACACTCAAAGTGCATGCGGATTAAGTCACCTCGTCCTCAACCTTCTGAAGTGGGTACCCCAGGATCCCTCGTGCCAAGGGCACGGCTGAGGTACACGTGCCCAGGCAGCGTGGCCCCACAGGCCACAGTCAGAGACATCACCGGGACGTTTCCTGAGTTTCCCAGTTCACTGTCCCCCAAATCCCAGCCTCCGTCCTTCCAGGGTTCCCTGAGGTGTTGCTCTGCAACATGAGGTGGCCCTCACCTTCTTGCGTGACTGCTTCCTCCAGGCCTTCTCCTGCTCGTCATCCCACCAGCCTCGGCTCTGCATATAGTGCCTCAGCCGGGAGATTGGGTGGTCCTGCTTGTCCCAGTAATTGACCTCATCCACTGAGCGGTACGCTGAGCTGTCGTCACTGGTGCTGTGGTGCCCAATCCTGCCGGGTGAGGGCCATGGGCAAGGAATAAAGGCAAGGAAAGGGACACAACTCGGGATGATGAGGGCAGGCTTTAGGGATCCCAGCGATGGATGCAGGGAAGATGGTAAAGATGGCTGTCAAGGCTGGTGGGGGGGTCGGGGCAGGCAGGCACCTATAGGTCATGGCCTCAATGAGGAAGGGCTGGTTCTCTGCCACAGCCCGTCGCCGGGCCTCCTTGGTGGCGTTGTACACAGCAAACACGTCATTGCCATCCACACGAATCGACAGGATGCCATACCCCGGGCCTCGAGCCGCTGTGGGGACAGAGAGGCAGCTCAGACCCCATGGGTCAGATGAGGACAATGAGCCGGGAACAGGAGATGGGAGGGGAAGAGAGGAGAGCAAACAAAGCAGCGCTCCATCCACCATCTCTCTCGACCTCCCTCGTGCCAGACACCGCAGGAAGACCGGGAGGGCAGGGTGGCAGGAAGGGAGAAGAGGCAGAACAGGCCCATACCGATGCCATCCCCGCGGTACTGCTCGGAGGTGGGCGTGGAGATGGCATAGCCATTGTTCCGACAGAAGAAGATGATGGGGCACTCAAGGGTAGCAGCGAAGTTGAAGCCAGCGTGGGCATCCCCCTCGCTGGCTGCCCCCTCCCCGAAGTAGCAGATGACGATCCTGTTGGCATTGGCCCGCTTGGCCGCGTAGGCTGCACCCACCGCTGCAGGGGAAGAGAGCATGGTGAGCAGGAGCAGAGCCCCCCACATTCTCTTCTCTCTCCCTCACAAGACACACAGACGCAGACAGACGCACACACATCACCCCTGCCCCAGGTTCCGGGACTCAGGCTGGCTGTCACGAGGCTGAGGGGAAAGAAAACACCTGATACCCCAACAGTCCCCCCACAACCTGCCCCACCCTGTCTTCTCCCCTCAGCTGATAGCAGCTCCATCCTTCCAACTCCTCAGGCCCAAAACATCAGTACCATCTTTGACTCCTAACTCTGTCATCCCCACACCTCCTCCATCTTCAACACAGACCAGAACCCGACTCTTCTCCCCAACTCCTTCACCTCACTGGCCTGAGCTAGGCCCCTCCTGTTGCCTTGGGGCAGCCAGAGGGCTGTCTAATGGTGAGCCAGGCCAACTCAATGCACAGCTGACCACTCCCCTCCCCTGTGGCCCCCATTCCACTCTGTGTTAAAGTCAAAGGCCCTGAGGCCCTGCAGATCTGCACCCTCTGGTGCCTCTCTGATATCCTCCACCCCCATGCACAGCTGCCCCACTGGGCTCTTCCCTGCCCCTCAAGCATCTCAAACACAGCAGGAAGGCCCTGCCTCAAGATCCCAGCTGGCTCCCCTCCCCCACCCACCCCACCTCCTGGTCTGTACTGAAATGTCACCCCACCTTCCCCATCACGCAGCACTCCCTCCCAGACTCATCTCTCCCTATAGGACCTATCAACCCCTGACGTGCTCCATGGATCACATCTTCATCTTGTTTACTGTCTCTCTCCCCTACCCCCATGTCAGCACCAGGAGGGCGGAGAGTTTTGTCTCTTTTTCACTCTACCTAGGGGTGTGCCCACACAGCAGGGACTCTGCTGGAACTGAGTGAATTAATAGTCACCCCAAAAGAAGGTGAGGGCCAGGGCCCCACCTTATGGAAATCCTACCTTCCTTCAGCAAAAATGCTACCTCCACCTAAGAGGCTCCCCTACCCACCTCCCACCTCCAAGACATGAACTGCTCACTCCTTGTTTCCAAACAGAATGACATGTGTGGACACACATGGGACCTTCCAATGTGCTAGGCACTCTGCTCACCTAGCAGGCACGGCAACTCACGTATCTGGGGGTGCCCTGAGCACAGAAAGCCAAAGCCCAGTCTGAGCCTTGACCAAGGGCAGGCTCCACAGGGCAGGGAGGGCAGCCCGCTTCCATGGCCCCCATGCTCTGCTTCCCAAGCAGTCATCTTTAACAGAAGCCACACCAACCACTTGAAGCACTGTGGGCTTCCAGAGTAAGCTGTAGGGCAGCTGGACTCCGAGGACTGAGGCAAAGTGGGGTTGGGAGCAGGAAACCAGGCTCTGTAGCCACAGTCCCTGACTTAAGTCCTGCTTTTCTGCCACCTGCTGGGTGGCCTTTAGCAAGGAACCTGGCATTTGCTCCGCCACACGCAGTGGGTTGTGTGTGTGTGGACAGACCAGGTGGGCACGAGTTTCGGAAACCAACAATGTGGTCATGCTGGCTGAAGCCTGACAAACAGGTGAGGATGGCACCACAGCCCTCCTCTGACGGGTCCCAGACAAGAGGAGTCTTGCTCTGACTGTGTCACCAACCAGGAAGCCCCGCCTCGCCAAAGGAGAAGGACTGGGGCCTGCTCAAGGGTAGAGCATTGGTCCTTGTGGTCCAAGCCCAAGACGTGTATCCTCACCCTGAGGAATCTGTGTGGCCAGTGGAGAGGAGATGGTGACGAAGTGACGCTCCTTGCAGCCATAGTGAACAGGCATCTGGCGCCCCTTGCCCGGGTCGTTCACATTGCCATAGCACTGGGCCATGAACTGTTCCAGGGGGTAGTCCCGATACATCAGCACGCCTGTGAGGGACAGAGGTACCAGTTGTTGGGAGAGAGGGTCTGGAGGTGCAGAGCCCAGTGGGGGTCCCAGGGCAAGGCCCTTCCTGCCCGGGCTTTCAGTTCCCCGCCTGTGCAGTAAGGGAGCTGGATGAGACCAAGGAAAGCACACTGGGAGGCTGAGGGGACCAGCCGGTGCGGGACCCAGGTGGGCAGGCCAGCAAGCACAGGTCACTGAGGCCATTGTTCAGATCAACTGACTGCTACCCAGGGAGGCTAAATCATTGAGGTTTTCAAAAGAAGAAACCTAGCTTCCTTTTTTTTTAAATGAGAAACTACCTAAATTTTAAGTGTCTCAACTAATTACTTTGAAAAATCATCATATGAACCAAATAAAAATACAAGCCACTAGCTCACAACTTCTGGACTAACGAGAAAAACATTCAAACCTATTTATGGCAGTAAAGCCCTTCTTTAAACAAAATCTCTAGTGGATGCCCACCCGCCACCATCAAAGAGAAGCTCACCACCAGGTTCTCTCACCTGGCTGGTGGGCGGTCCTGGAGATGGCACAATCCGGTTGTTGGGTACTCTTGTTCTCCCCACTCCACAGTGTGGAGACAGAGAGTTGAGAACGGGGCACAGGGTCTGCCTCACCTCACCTAGCACGAGTGCCCTCAGCAGCTCCCCAGACACAGAGTTGTGTGCTGACTGGTGGTGCCAGAGGGCCCCTCTGGTAGGGCAGCCAGGGCCCAAACAGCCCTGTGTGGACTGCCCAGCTGCCGCCAGGATTCCGGGGCCCTCACTTGGCCCTGCCTAGAGCCCTCACCAGGGACCACTTCAGCAAAACAGGCAGAGAGCACTCAGCAAACCTGGCAAGGGCCTGGTGTGCAGTCTAGTGTCTGGGGCAAATCTTCCTTGCTCAAGATGCTGAACCACAGACCATCAGTGGGCACCTGTCCTCCTACTGCATGGGGGGGGGGGGGGACTTCTGGTGCAGCACAGAGAGGAGTAGACAGTCCAAGAGTAGACCGGACCACTATACCAGTCCAGGGAGGGCTCTGCACAGCCAGCCTGGCTAGGTCCTGCCTCCCTCCTAAAGAGCTGTCCCAGGATGAGAGGCCCTAGTCACTGTATCACCTCTGACACTGAGTGCTTACCCCATGCCAGGTCCTGTACTAACTAATGGTTTTGCATCATCTGCCCCATGAAACCCCTCAACAGCCATGTTAAGCAATTGAGGAGCAATTCAGCAACTTGCCCACGGTTATGAAGCACCCAAGAGAAAGGCTCAAGATTTGCCTCCCCGGCAGCCCCAGAGGGAGGCTGCTTTGCAAGGCCCCCATGCCAACCACCAGTCTGGAACCAGCCCCGCAGCTTCCCAGGCTAGCTTCTTCACCCCAGTCACTCTTTTATGCACACTGATTTTCTTCAGTCCTAGTCTTTGATCCTTCTTTGCACTCAGATGTGAGCCGGCTCCCTGGCTGGAACCTCCCAGGTCCTCCCATCTGCTTCTGCTCCCTGAAGGCTGCGGTGCCTGGAGAGAGGGCAGCAGAGCTCACACTGGGCAGATGGGGGCCCACAGTACACGCCACACCTGCAGCTCGGCCTGCCCGCACTGCACAATCCCAGCAACAGAGATTACATCCACAGTGCAGAGATTATAATACCATCATCATCATCTTGATTCTGGAGAAAACTAACGTTCAGAGAAGGGAAGTGACTTGCCCCAAATCTGACAGCCAGTAGCCATGGACCAGTCAGGAGAAAAGGCTCTTAAGCACAACAGTGCCTGCCCTCCACAGAGGGGAAGCCCACCCACTCTAAACTCTGGACCTGGTTTGGCTCTTTAACTTGAAAAGTTCTTCACCCAGCTCCTTGGACCTCCCTGGCATTGTGCCACTCCTCCAAGAGCACACAGGGTAACTAATGAGGGCCTCACCTTCACACCAGGAGGGACTGAGCTAGACCCGCCTCAATGGGGACCCCCCAAACCCAGACCTCTGGCATGTGCTCCACAGGGGCCAGGACATGGGCACACGCACCTGCCTCCCGGTACTGGCCAAACACCAGGTCCGTGTTGTCCAGAGCTGCCGCACTCCCCACATGCGTCCCCTCCTCACCATAGTTAGTCATGTAGAAGGAGATCCGGCCCTGTGGGTAGAGGGGAGTCCAGAAGCCCAGGCTTAGTTATGCTGGGCAACCAGTAAGAACTGTACAAACAGTGACCAACTTCTGATGACTCCACTGATCAGCAGATACTTCCTGAAGGCTGCTCTGGGCCAGGCCATGCTGGAGTTTCTGACTTCGTGAAGGAACTGCCAGACTGGTTAGAGCCAGACTGGGGGGCTGTGCAAGGGAGCTGTAAGGACGTACCTGCCCCACCAAGGAGGGGCACCAGGGAGCAATGCCTAAGCGGAGGCAGGGGTGGATGAAGGTTTCCAGATAGAGAGAACTATAAAGGCCACAAGACTGGAAGGGATGGGACAGGAAGTGGGTGGGGAAGGACAATGCAGGAGTGACAGGCAGAACCCAGGTACCACAGGGAATGAGACATCTGAACTTTACCTGGAGAACAGTGGTAACCTGCACATGGCTGTCTTTGGGGAGTGATGTTTTAGAAATGTCTCTCAGGCTGCTATGTGGGAAATGGATACAAGAAACAGGACTGAAACAGGACAGCAAGCCACATGAGAAAGGTGGTGGCCTGGCCTGGAGGACTGGATGGTTGACAGCATTAAGCAGCAGTCAGCGTGCTCACTTTGGCAGCACATGCACTAAAAATGGAATGATGCAAACATTAACATAGCCCCTACGCAAAGATGACATGCAAATTTGTGAAGCATTCCGTATTTTTTATTTACAACAGCCAAGATATGAAAGCAACCCCAAGTACACATCAATAGATGAGTGGATAAAGAAGATGTGGTACAGCCCTGACCGGTGTTGCTCAGTTGGTTAGAGTGTCATCCCGCTATGTCAAGGTTGCAGGTTCAATCCCTGGTCAAGTACATAGAAGAAGCAACCAATGAATGCATCAGCAAGTGGAACAATAAATCAATCTCTCTAAATATCAATAAATGTTTTTTAAAAATAGCCCTGACTGGTATGGCTCAGTGGATTGAGCGAGCACCTTCCTGCAAACCAAAAAAAAAAAAAAGCCCTGGCTGATGTGGTTCAGTGGATTAAGTGCCGGCCTGCAAACCAAAGAGATACCGGTGCAATTCCCACTCAGGGCACATGCCTGGGTTGCGGGCCAGGTCCCTAGTACAGGGCACATGAGAAGCAATCACACATTGATGTTTCTCTTTCTCCCTCCCTTCTCCTCTGTAAAAATAAATAAAATAACATGGAATGTCAACTATAATTGAAAACTAAAATTTTTAAAAACATTTTATTTTTAGAGAGAAGAAAAGGGAAGAAAGAGAAGGATACATCAATGTGTGGTTGCCTCTCGCACGCCCCCTACTGGGGACCTGGCTGGCGACCCAGACATGTGCTCTGACTGGGAATCAACCCTTTGGTTCGGAGGCCCACGCTCAGTTCACTCACTGAGCTACACCAGCCAGGGATGAAAACTAAAAACTTTTTAAATTAAAAAAAAAAAAAAAGCAGCAGTAGCAGCAGTACCAAGGAGTGGCATACCCTCCTGGCTGGCTACAAGCCTGGAATCAAACATTAGGTTCCCAGCCACCCTCGCAGGATACAGCTCTAGCCAGAGATTTAAATGGAAGTCTGATTTTGCGTTGGGTTTTTTTTTTAAATGCACTGTCCCCAGAAGTACTGCAATACTGGATGGATGCATGGAGTGGGCAGAGCAAGCTCCTATTCCATACTCTAGCTCCAAAAATCCATTTAATATAATGTCCTCAGATAAAGGATATATGAGATATTAAATTGGTAAGAACAGATACTACACTTGATCTTAGCGAAAAGGCTGGTAAGTGACGATTTTGCTTTCTTGATTAAAAAAACAAACAAAAAGCCCTGCAGCTGGTGCCAACCTTTCCCTTCCTTTCTTCCTGCCCAGCACACAGCCATGATGCCTGGAGCTGTGGCAGCTGTCTTGGAACACAACGAGCACATGATGAAAGCCAACTCAACCACGTTGGTGCCGCTGAGCTGCAGAACAGATCTCTAACTAAATATATAGGGACAGAGATTGGTGGGGGAAAAAACGTAAACAGATAAATACCTAGGGACAGAGTGAATGAGAAAGTGACAGTGAGGGAGAAGGAGACAGAAATGAAATGCAGGTCACCAGTTTGGGCAACTGGGTGGATGGTGGAACCCTTCGATGAGAACTGGCCTAACGGGGGAAGAGAAGTGGGCCTGGGAGGAAGATGCAGAGACCAAGTTTGGACAGGCTGAATCCGGGAGGACATCAGGGTGAGAGGCCAAGCAGATCCGGGGCTAAGAGGTTAAGGCAGGTTGGAGATTTGGGGAGTCCCTGGCACAGAAACAGAAATGAGCTACCCAGAACTACGTGTAAAGTGAAACAGAGAGAGCTCAAACTGGCACCTGCGGGTGCTCGCTGCATAGCCCTCGTGTTCCACGAGCCCAGCTCTCTGTCACGGCAGGGGAGCCACATGGATAATGCTTTCTTCTAAGTGGGGAGCCAATTAAAAGCTAATTGACCTCCCAGAGCTGAGTGAGTGGGTGGAAGCTGGGTGCTGAGCGCCTGGCAGGGCTGTGAGACTGGCAAGGGTGACAGCCTTAGGGGGCCCCTGAGCAAACAGCACCTGGGTTACCAGCTGAGGTCACTGGTTGCCACCCAGTATCCTGTCCCTCTTCCTCTGCTAACAGAGATCTCATTCCACCAGAGGCAGCAACTGCCTAGACTAAAACACTACGTTTCTTACTCTCCCTTATACTAGGAGTGACCAATAAAATATGAGATATTATTGGGACTACCTGGAAAGTTCTATAAAGATGGCTGTGGAGATACCTGGAATGTGCCATGTCTGACCTTCCACCTTCCTTCCACTTCCTGGCTGGAATGAGATGGGAGGGAGGGAGCCCCAGCAGCCATTAGGTTCATGAGGGACCCTCAAGGCTAGAAGCCATAACTGGGTATCCAATGACACTGTGATGCCACTATACCTTCCCCAGACCACCAGTTTCCAGATTTCTTTTATGCAAGGGGAAAAATGATTAACCTGTTGAAGCTGCTGCTTTCGTTTTGTTAGGATTTTTTTGAGGGGGGAGGATGGAAGGAGGTCTGTTACTGCAGGTGAAAGTAATCCTAGCTAACAGGGTCAACCTCTATGGATGAGTTGCTTTCACTGAGGTCTTCTTGTATTAGCTGATGGGCGGCAAGGGATCTTACATGCTGGTTCACACAGAATTCCTACCCTGAGCCTGTAGGGTAGCTTCTCTTGTTATCCCCATTTTTTTTAATATACTAAATAAACTGAGGCAAAGACAAGAAAAATCACCTGCCCAAACTCATAACTCTGATTGGATCCACATTCAGGGGATTCCACAGCCCTGTCTGTACAGCCAATGCAGAGGCAGGAAGGCTTGTGTGAGGGTGGGCGGATGGCCTGGCCTGGCACTGAGACTGTGGAGAGGGGAGTGCACTGGCAAGGCCACAGAGGAACACAGGATGGACAGGAAGGGCGAGGTGTGATCCTGTGGACACGGGAGCCAAAGAAAGTGGGTAGGCAGGGTGGAGACCATACCATCACCTGGAGAGCCACTATGGAGTGTTTCTGTGAGCATGAGTGCAGGGGTAGGCTGCCTGCCTGATCTGCTCAGTCACCTGGGGGCTTCATGCAAATGCAAATTTCCTAGCCAATCCCCATGTGAGGACCTGCCTGGCCAATATGCTTCCCCCTTTTCTAACAGGAAAGGGGGAAGAATACTGCTCTGGGTCTGCTACTCTATTCCCTTGGTTCCTGGAGACGGGCACATGGCCCCAGCCTGGCCTGTCACCGGATGGCTCAGGGAGGGGTCTGTGATCAAAGTGTGGCCAATAAATATCAGCCCTGGGCCTTCTGCTGGAACATTAGAGACCAATTTCTTTCCACCACTAAGGAGAAGGTTTAATTATTGCAAGGCTGGTAGGGTCATGGCAAATAATAGCTAATATTTATCACGGACTAACTAAATGCCAAGTTCACTGTCTCTAAAGCCCTTACTTGTCACCATCAATCCTCACAACAACCCCATGCAGACCAGAAAACTGAAGCACTGAGAGGCTTTCCCAGGCCCACAAAGCCAGAAAGTGGCAGATAAGAACTTCAATCGTACCCTGAACCCTTTCTGTGCCACCTCTCCAGGAGCCTGGAGCTTCCAGAACCCTCAGCTGCTTGAGAATGAAGGAAGCCAAGGCAAAGACGAGAAGAAAAGACATTCAAGAGAGAGGAAGAGGTCTGGTGACATCTTTCAATTCCCAGACACAGCTGTGCCTGAAGACAGGGCTGTCTGAACTTGAAGTTACTTGAGTCAACAAATTTCCTTCTTTGAGTGGGTCTCTGTCTACTGAAGGTCCCAGCATGTCTGCCATGGGCACTCCAGGAAGCACCGAGGGTCTCCCTGTTTCTCAGGACTGTGAGCTCCCAAGAAGAAGGGCCCTCATGACTCCTACCTGCCATCTCCCTGCACAGCGAAGCCCCTACCCCAGCACACAATAGGTGTTTTCAGTGATCTGGTCCATCTTCTGCCCCTGGCCAGGGACCTTCCCACATTCTCCCTATAGTGGCCCAAGAAAACCTCCAAGAACTCTAAGGACCCCAAGACAGTGGATCTCTATTCCACTCTTTCCTCCTTGGGAGCTATCTTTTGGCCCACAAACAGGCAGAGGGACGTCAGGTGATTCCAAACTCCCCTCCCCGGCCTGTCCCCACGCACCTGCCGCTGGGACTCATAGAGGATGCGGTCCATGGTGTTGAGCAGTGTCATGCTCTTGTAGAACTTGAGGACCTTCTCCTGCGGCAGCTGCAGATAAAGGCACAGAGAGACACAGAGCCATTGGACCAGAGAGGACATGGGCAAGGGACCTGGGCATGGGAGGCAGGGGGTGAAGGAGGTGGCCTCTCACGTGGGGATCCTCGCTGGGATTGATGATCTGGCCCTGCCGATCCATGACGCGGTAGATGGGGATCCCAGAGATGACATTGGGCTGGATGAATTCCAGCTTGTCTACGAACTCCGCCGAGGCCCCTGGGAATTGAGGCTTGTCGTCCAGGGATGAGAAGTACTGCTGCTGCTGCCACTGGGGGTGCTGGGAGGGGAGGGCAGACACTTGAGTAGGAGCAGCACTCAGGTTTGCCCTGGCTCAATCCCACGGGGCCAGGCTGTGGCCTGGTGGTTAAGCAGCCACAGACACACAGGGTGTGAATTCCAGCTCCACCACTTTCCCATTGCATAACCTCAGGCAAGTTACTAGAATGTCTTTGTGTCTCAGTTCCTCATCCAACTGGGGTAAAAATAACATCTATTCCACAGGGTTGTTGTAAAGATTAAATATCTCAAAAAAGTGGCAGGCAGCTCAAGAACTGGCAGCTGTTATTATTATCAGAGGCCCAAATTCTTCGCCCCGGCATTCAAGGCCTCCCCATTCTGGCCACGGAGACCCACATCTATCCATTTCACACGGCTACAACAGGCACAGACACCTCTGCACAGAGCCCTCGAGTCACCTGGAGGGCTCTTTACTGACCCCTGTGCCCAGCAGGGAGGCCACCCAGAACAGACCTCTGTCTGTGAGCTCTTGAGTCAGTCTGCCTGGGTTCAAATCCCTTGTTGGGCGACTATGGGAAAGTGACTTCCCCTTTTGAAAAAGCCACCACCCCTTTCTCATCCATAAAATGGAGAACAGCTCATAGAAATGTTGCAAGGCTAAAATGAGATCACGCGCATAAATTTTAGCAAAACATTTGTAAGCCATACAGTAAATGCTCAAAAAAATACTAGGATTTCTACCACCACATCACTGCTGTCATCTCTCTTCTACCTCCTCCCCCTTGCCCTGGCGAACTGCTCCACACGCATCATGCCCTCTCCGTGCCAGGCCTGAGCCCTCCACAAACCCAGCCTGACTCACTCAATAAGTATTTGGGCACCTGCTTTGTTATAAGCCCTGCGCTGGGTTCTGGGGACCTAAGAGACATAAGACTCTGTCCCTGCTGCCAGAATGAAAGACAGATGCTGAATAAGTACCGATGGGGGTGAGTCGTGTTCTAGGAGAAGCCATGGGGCTCCGTGGAGTGGAGTGCAAAGGAGGTCAGGCTTCTCTGAGGAAGTGACATGAGAGTGAGCCTTGAAAGATACCTAGGGGTCAGGAAAAGAGCATTCGATGCCAGGGGAACAGAACATGAAAAGGCACAATGTGAAGAACAGCGTGCCCCCTGTGGAACATGGAAGGAGCTCAGAGCAGCTGGAGGAGATCTGTGGGGAGCATCATACCTGCTCAGATCAGAGGAGGCCTGGCAGGGAACGCCCGTGAGAAGCCTCCATGTGTGGCAGAGTATGAACCAATTCAGTCTCTCAACTCTTGAGATAACCTTCAACTGGTCTCAGTATTGCAACAGTGCCCCTTGATTAAGCACTAGCTGAGTGCCAAGCTGAGCTCTGCATGCACAGTCCTACTATTGCCCTTGAGTAAATGAGAAACCTATGGTTCAGGGAGGTCAAATAACCTGCCCTGCCCTGGGCCATAGAGCTGAAACTAAATAAGTAAGTCAGGACTAGCTTTAAACCTGGGCAGGGCTGATACTCAGATCCCAAAATCCATGCTTCCTAACCCAACTGCCACTGCTGGCCTGGTTTCTACACTGGTTGCCAGGCTCCTCTTAGCTCATAATCGTGGCTTCACTCCCAAGAGGAGCTGAAGAATGACTGAGTGTGCCATGAGCTGGACCTCACACATGGGTGCTCAAGTGTGTTCCCCTCCTCCTCTCCTTTAATTACAGTGAAGAAGCCATCCAAGGTTCTGGGGGCACGTGAACACATGTGCGTTTATCTGCAATTATAGCTGTGAGGAAATTACACTCCCAGCAGCAAGGCAGGTCCGGGCCTCACATCACAGCAGACCCCCTCCGCCTGCATGTGAAGCAGCTAAACTCTGCAGACTGCACTTTACCAGGAGGGCTCACACCTCTGAGCACACCCACAGCCAGGCCTGTCCGTCCACCTAAAGGGTCCTTCTGTGTCGTGTCTGTCTCCCACACACATCACAAGCTCCCCAAAAGTAGGGATTATGTCCAGGTGGATTACAGAGCAGGCACTCAACAGATGGTTACTGAACAAACGGATGAATGAGTGGTTACATTCAAGGGCTTTGGAGTCCCACTGGCCTGAGCTCCAATTTCTTAGCTCACTGTGTGGCCCTCTGCTACACACCGTCTCTTTGAATCTCCCCTCTGTAAAATGGCTGTAGACCACTGCCGCGAAAAGTTCCTAAGATAAGGCACCCAAAAAATTTGGTACAGGCACAGGACATGGTGTGTGCCTGAAAACTGGTAGAAGGGAAAAAACGAAATCTAGAAGATCAGGAGATGGGAAGTGGGAAATGACTACACCTCCAGAGGAAGACAGGGCAGAGGAGCTGGGGAGAAGGACTGGCTGCACCTCACACTGAAGTGGGACGCAGGGCCCGGCAGACACTCCAGACAAGGACAGAAGCCTGGGGAGACACAAATGGAACGAGGGCTACGATCCTTTAAGGGGGTAGTCCAGAGGCCAGCGGGGGTTGGGAGGATAGGATCTCAGGGCTCCGCACAAGCCAGGACGTCAGGACTCTGTCTGCCTACAAAGACCACAGAGCTACTGAGAGGGCGCTGTGGTGCACCCCACACACTGGGGGTGAGCTTTGGGAGTGCCATTCTCTCCTGGGCCACTCCAGGGCTCTGTACTGAGTCAGTGTGCTCTGAGAAAGGTTCAGCAGTGCCTGGTCCCAAGGAAATGCTCCACTATGGGAGTGGGTGATAAATGCCTGCAGGGAAAGGATGCGACTCCACCCACTTTTTGTTTTTGGTGAGGGCATGGGTTTGTCCTGGTAGCCAGTGACTTACAATGGCAGAGGCCACATAGATTTACACAGAGCCCTGAAACCACACCCTCTTCCACCACACAGGAAACAGGGAGGCCTGCCCTGGATGGTCTGATCTGCCCAGCAGGTCAATGTCAAGGTGGTCTCTTGTGGAGCCACTCCTGAGGGCACCAAGATTAAGGGCATGGACTGGAGCAGACTGCTGCCCCTGGCTGTGCAACTAAACCTCCCTGAGCTTCGGTTTCCTTATTCATGAACAGAGGACGGTAGGAGTACCTATCTCATAGGTGGTCACAAGGATTAATGACTTGATGGTGTAATTGCTCAGCCCAGAGTAAGAATGAACACTCAGTGCACACAAGTAGCTGACTAGTGTATTTGACAACTGTTGTCAAACAGGTACTGAATACTGGCTCCAAGTCACACCTGAACCGAGGGCTTCGACAAACACTCAACACACGAGTTGCAGTCAAGAGGGGGTTGAGCTCAGAGGAGGCAGGATGTTTAGTGGTTAATGCAGGGCAGGGCAGAATAAAAGACACTAGAGCTAAACTGCCTGTATTTGAATCCTGACTTTGTCTCTTTCCAGCCATGTCATCTGGGCAGCACAATCGCCCTGACCCAGTGTCCCCTTGTGGATAAAATAAGAATTGCTACTCCACAGGAATGGTGGTGAGGTAGGTATAAAACCCGCCATAGCTCTGGGGCAACCTTTACCACCAGCATCAGGTAGAGTGGGAGGAAAAGCTTCCTAGAGAAGGGGGTGAAGCTGAGCCCTGCTGGACAAGCAGGGGAGAGCCAGGCAAAGGCTGGGGGAAGAACACTTCAGTCTCTGGGAACAACAAAGGCTCTGAGCCAAGAGAACAGAGCCTGGGACACTGGTACCCTGAAGACCAGTACGGCTGCAGCACGTTAACAATAGCTAACAACGTGCTGGACACATTGCACTTTCTTTTGGCCTATGTGCTCAATGAGCCGGCACAGCAGCCAGGGGAGGCAGGACCTATTATCACATGGCAGTAAAACAGAGGTGCCCCGAAGCCCGGAGGGGTTAAGTGACTGGACCGAGGTCACAGGGCTCATGAGTGGTGGTGTCGGCACACAAAGCGAGGCAGCTGGACCACTACTGCCTAGGGAGGCTGGTGAGAAAGGTGGGGCCCATGGAAGGCACCACAGATGAGCCAGTTAACCGAGCCCTCTGCATGTAGGACACTAAGGTCACCCAAACCCACTCCCTCCTGGGGTCTGAGGCACTCTGTCCTCAAACTGTCCAAAGTGCTTCCAGGTCAGAAATGTCAGCGGCCTCATCAGTGGCCTGCCTTGTGGAAGAGCTGGTCGGGGACGCCAGGGAAGTGTGATTAATCAGCCTTTCTCTGGCCCCAGGGACCTGGGACCTGGGGGCGTGAGCAGCACTATGCTCTCCCAGGCACTGGAGTGTGAAGCCCTGAGGGAGGCCGTCCCTTCCCAGCATTAGTCATGGCCACCCCAGACTCCCTGTCCCCGGAGAAAATACTAGTACTAGCCATTTCTTGAGCCCTTACTGAGCACTTGGTATATGTAGTAAGTGCTTCATAAGAACCATTTCCTTTCTTCCTCACACCTCTCTGAAAGGGCACTCCCACAGTCCCTATTTTACAGACGGGGGCTGGTGTTGAGATCAGGAAAGCTTCTCTGAGGAAGCAGCCCACCCGCTGTCATCTGAAGGACCATATCCCCACAGGGGCCTCTGGGTAGCAGGGGCTCATCCAAGGGGGGGAAAAATGGCCAGTGGCACTGAAGCAGGGAGAGAAAGGGCTGAGGCCAGCTCTGTCACCCAGCTTCCCACCAGCTGGCCGGGGCAGAGGCTGGTGCCGCCAGCCAAGCCTGGACTGAGCTGGAAGACCTAAACAAAGCCCTAATGCTCTCCTGCTGGCAGCCTGGTGCTATGAAAAGAAACTGGGCTTTGGGCTCCAGGGCTCCGAGTTCACACCTCACCTCTCTGGGCCTCAGTTTCCTCACCTGTAATGAGAAAAAACTACCAGCAGGTACCTTGCAGTATAGCTGTGTTAAATGTAACAAGTGGGTACTGTAAATTATAAAGTGCTTCATGATGTGAAAAGAAGCTGGGGTCCTTAGAAAAGAGACCAGGTTCCTTAAGACACAAGGCAAAAGGGAGATGGACACAAATGAATCAATAATGACCGTCACCATTCATCCCAGAGTACACACTGGGCACCGGCCACTCAAGAGACATTGCACAGGATGCTGGAGCCCTTGGACAGGCTGGCCGAACCGCTGGGTCCGAGAAATAACATTATTGCTAATTTGCACAGACCAAGCTGCAGGTGCTCCCTGATTTCCAGCGGGGCAGGGACTCTAGTCGCCCGCTTGCTACGCTGAGAGAAGTGAAATGACCTGGCCGAGGTCCCATTTGCTCTTGGGGTGCTGGCTGAGAAACTGACTCAGGACACCTCAACAAACCAGTTTTCCTTCCTCCTCTTCACCCTGAGCACTACTACATCTTCCAGCAAGTGGAGGGGAAGAAAGGGAGGCAGAACCAGGCAAACGTCTCGGAGGTGAAAAGAAGGGCAAGCAGACAGAAAGAAGGCAGGCGGCCCCGCAGTCCTCCCGACCCAGCCTGCACCACCAACCCAACCTGTCCACTGCAACACAGCCTCCCAACCTTCCCTCAAGGCACTGACTCTCTGTCTCCTGGCACAGCTGAAGCTGCACTATCCAATATGGCAGCCAGTGGCCATTTAAATTTAAATTCATTAAATACAGTTTTGGCCAGGAAGCTCAATTGGTTAGTGTCACTGGGATATGCCAAGGTGGCAGGTTTGATCCCCAGTTTTGGCACATGTAAGAATTACCAGTGAATGCATAAATAGGTAGAACAACAAATCGTTCTTCTCTCCCTCTCTCAAATCAATCAATTACAATGTTAAAAAAATTAAGTACAGATGCTCCATGACTTACAGTGGGGTTAAGCACTGATAAACCCACCACAAGTTGAAAATATCATAAATCAAAAATGTATTTAAAACACCTAACCTGCTCCCACCAGTATGGTTCAGTGAGTTGGGCGTCCTCCTGTAAAGCAAAAGGTCACTGGTTCAATTCCTGATCAAGGCACATAAGGAATTGGGGCCTAGGTATCTGGTTCGGTTCCCAGGCGGGGTGTGGAAAAGGCAACTGCAAAATGTTTCTCTCCTCTTTCTCCCTCCCTTCCCCTCTCTCAAAAGAAACAAAAACAAAACCAAAAAAAACCAAAACAAAAATACCCTAACCTACTGAACATCACAGCCTAACTTAAATGTGCTCAGAACACTTACATTGGCCTACAGCTGAGCGATTATCTTGAATTTCATCTCAAAGTAATTGCCTTCTTTTTCCCCTCACCAGAAGCAGAAGACACAGACAGGCCTTTTGGAGACATAAGATGTGAAAACACAAAACACAATATCCAAAAAAACGCTGGCCACACAATGAACTGTGGTTGTTCGCCCTCAGGGTCGTGTGGCTGACTAGGAGCTATAGCCCACTGCCTCTGCCTAGCACAACTAGAGTATCATAACACGTATTACTAGTCTGGGAAAAGTTCAAAATTCAAAGTAAGGTTTCTAATGAATGTGTATCACTTTTGCACCATGGTTAAAGCTAAAAGTTAAGCCAAACCATCTTAAGTTAGAAACCGTCTGTAAAGTAAAAATTTCAGTTCCTCAGTGGCACTAGCCATATTCCGAGTGCTCAGCAGCCACGTGTGATTGGTGGCGACTACACTGGAGAGCCCAGATAAAGAACACCTCCACCATCTCCAGAAGTGCTACAGGACAGCCCTGGCCTAAACTCTTTGACTAAATGCTACTATTCCTTCCCTCCACTCAAAAATACAAAAGTATCATTTTTAATTTTAAAAGAACAAGTTGGAGAAATAAATGTGGGAAAGAAAACTGAGGACTCCAAAAATATATAAAGCTTTAAATACCATACATACATAAAAAGTAAGGACTCTCAGAGACCTTCTCCTCCTCTCCTCCAATCCACCCCAAAAAAGCAAGGATGAAGTCAAGAGGGAAGGGAAGGGCAGCAGGGAGACTGGGCCAGAAGAAAGCTGATTTAATCAGTCCTAAATGACCTTTCCCTACTGCAGCCTGAGTCCAGCCCACCTCCCGCCCCACTGGCCCAGCCAATGGGCTCCTGGGACTGAGATCAGCTATGGAAGATCTGACTTCTTCCCCGCTGCACCCCCAAAAACGGCCAACACAAACCAGCCCAAACATAGGAGACTGCCCTACCCCCATCCAGCTCCAGCAACCCTTCCCTTCCTGCAACCCCTCCCCTCATTCCAACCTCATCCTCTTTACCCTCCTCCCCTGTTTCTCTTCCCATCCAGAACTTCCACCTACAGCTTCCAGCTTCCCCTCCTGGATTGGAGGGTCAGAGGGTCAGGCCCAACCACACAAGATCTTGACAGTCTGTCTCCAGGGCCCTCATCAATTCAAGCACTACCAAAGTCACTTTCTCCTCCTTCCTTCCCTCCACCCTCACTTTCAAAAGTGGCCAACACTCCTATTGCCCTTAGCATAATGCCAGGTCCCGTTCTTAGCATTCTACATATTTAATTTTCACAACAATCCTATAAGGTGCCACTGGTAGCATTTTACAAAGGGGGAAATTAGGTACAGAGAACAGCAGACCCCTACCCAAGGCTATACAGCTGGAAAATAGCAGATTAGGGATATGAACCAATGTGATCTACCTTCATATCCTTCTAAACAACTATTTTTTTATTGTGAAATTTTAGTTCATAGCTCTACTGCAACCCACAGAGCCTTCCAGCAAGAAATGTAGGCAGAGTGCCCTGTGGATCTCTCTCTCTCCTTTTCTCCTCTCATTAATTCAACAAATATTTATTGGTTATCTTTTCCGCAGTGTGACAATAGACAAGGTCCCTGTCCTGTCATCTTATTAAGGGACACAGGTTCAAACGCCTTTTTTATGCAATTCATTTTAAAGTTCGTTTGTTTATTTTTAGAGAGAGGGAGAAAGAGAAGGAAAGACTGATCGGTTGCCTCTCGCAGGCCCCCACCCCCCCAGCTGGGAACCTGACCCACAACCCAGCCATGTTCTCTGACCGGGAATCGAACCAGCAATCCTTCGGTCTGCAGACTGGCTCTCAATCCACTGAGCCACACCAGTCAAGGCCCTGCAATTCACTTTAAAATCAGAATTGCAGCAAAAGAGCAAAGAAGTATAGGGCACTATAAAAAAAAAAAAAATCCGTGACGGAAGACCTGATCTCTCTTTTCTCCTCTTCGAAGGTGAGGGGTCTTTACCGAGAACAAACTTACTAAAGCAGTTTTACCCCCCAAGCCTTAAGCAAAGGTCTCGCCTTCTTCCCATGTACCTCCAAACTGCCATCACCCACTGGCAACTAATGAGGAACCCCATCCCTCTCTCCAAGTTGTCTCCGTCTCAAGATGCCCCAAAAGAAGCTGCCTCACTTTTCATCTCATAAAAAAGTGGAAGTTCTTTCTCTAAGTGTCCTCTCTTAAGTGGTTCTCCTAAGCCTCGTCCCTTCTGTGACAGCCCTTCCTTCACCCCTTGCAGGAACCCCACACTCTGAAAATGGCGTTGACATCCCTATTCCCTGCTAGGGATAACTCCCCGGTGCCCCAGGTACTCACAGATATAGCCAGCCCCCGAACCTCAAGCCGCTGCAGGAGCAGGAGGCCAGCCTGACCCCAGCCTCGACGTGGTCCCCAGACCCGCGCTGCTCGAGACGCTAACGCCATCTTGACTAATAACTTCTTGGCGATCCGCCCCTCTCCCTGTCGATACTGGGGCTGCCCCTTCACTAGCCTGACTAAAGTGCCAGCACCACTCTGCAAAGAAAGCGTTTGCTATAGTCCTGAGGTCCCTAGAACACATATATGTGTGGATAAAACAACGTGGTTTCCAAAAAATTACTCTGATAGCCTCACTGTCATTGTTTTTGTAACAGGCAAAAAAGAGGGCAACCTGACCAGAGCCTCAGGATTTTAAGACCCGGGACCTCGGGTAGGACGAGCCCTTGCCAAGGACCACCCCCTACTCGCTGCTGCCCAATGGCTTTTCTGGAATTTAGAGGCTGGAGCGGGCGGGGTCAAATTGTTAGTAAACGGGGAGCCACGTGCGGGCCCTCGCTAACCTAGATCCGCGCGTTGCGCGCTGGGTACGCAGCCTGTGCGCCAGCGCGCTCTTCGGTGCGGAAGCGACTGAACTCGTGGAGTTGGCGGATGGAGGGGTCGACGCAGACTGACGCCAAAATCCGCACTGACTATGGAACAGATTCCAGCTCTCGGGGCCCCGGCTGCAGCCTCCGGCACTTTGCTTGCGAACAGAACCTGCTGTCCCGGCCGGATGGCTCTGCCTCGTTCCTGCAAGGTGGGAAATTACCCAAGTAGATAGTGCCGCGGCCCCGTTCACCCAAGTTGTATTTATTTTAGGGAGTGGCTACGGTGCACTATGCAAAGGTGTACCTACCTTCGCTGATACTAGCCGGTAAATATCCCTCCTGGACTCATACAGAACTTCTTGCCCAGGTGGACATTACTGGATACTGTCGGGTAAGTATGTATCTCCCAACTGGAAGGGAGAGATACCTCCACCCTGGTAAACACAGGAGAGAGGATCAGACCTCCCCATAAGCATCAATACGCTACAATAGGGAAAATCTCACCACAGTGAATAACCTCCTTGATTAGGTTCCTCCTTAGCCTCCCACAGACATACCCTGGGTCCATACATCCCAGACTGAGGCAAACCTGCCTATTTGCCTAACTACCTCGAAGCCTGGAGGATCACTATTACCGGTTTCATGACTCCCTGCTAGGGAAGACCTTTCATCCAAGCACATACTTTTCAGATTAAGGTTGATGTCCATACCCTGGGTTGAGATTTTCCCCATCCCCACCAATTGGGTAAATATCCCTGAGATTGGGGTAGTTCTTAACTATTGTAAGATGTAGTTAAATACTTTTCAAACTCCTTGACCCAGGTAAGTATTCCTCTGGAGGTAAGTCTAAGGACCGTGCCCATGGATGCTTCAGTCCCTTCTCTAGGGCACTACCGTCTACCCAGTTACAAACCTGTTTTCAATTATTCCTTCCCATTGAACAGGTATGTATTTGTTCTAGGCATTGAGAATACAGCAATAAAGAATTTTTTTAATCCCTCACCTAACCAAGAAGACAGACAGTAAAGAAAATAACTAAGTAAGGTGCTACAGAGCAAACTATAGTATGGAAGGGGAATGGGCTGTGCCAGAGAAAGCTGCACTCTTAAATAGGATGGTTAGGAAGGACCTCAGTGAGATGGTAATATTTGAATAAAGACCTAAAGGTAAGAGAGCAAACCCTGAAAATACCAGGAGAGGAAGAGTATCAAGCATGGGGAACAGCAGTTGCCCAGACCATGCAGCAAGAAGGTACCTGGTATGTTTGAGGAAGTCAGGAGACCAATATGGCTGAAGCAGTGAGAGGAGGTTTTGGAGAGAGTTAAGGATGGCCCATCACATAAGTCGTAGTAAATGAGATGGGAGCCATTGGAAGTTTTGCTCAGAGGAGGGACGTAATCTGAATATATTTTAATAGAATCTCTCTGGCTTCAGTGTTGCCTCTAGTAGGTTATGGGGGCAACAGGAAGATGAGGGTGGCTCAGACTAGAGTGAAAGCAATGGAGGTGGCGAGATTCCGGATGTATTTTGAAGGTAAAACTGACACAATTTGCAGGTGGTTTGGTTTGGGGATATGAGAAGAGAGGGATAAAGCTAAGATCTTTGCCTGTTTGCAATGCCCAGTAGATATCACAATGGCAAATTGAACATAAAATCTGAAATTCAGAAGTGAGACCCAGAATGGACATATCATGTTAAATCCTCTGGCTATAGATGGTATTTTAAGCTCTTGAAAACGAGTGTAGGTGGGAAAGAGAACAGGTCTTAGGACTAAGGCTTGAGTCTTCTGATTTATGAGGAGCTAGCAAAAAGACACTGAGAAGGAGCAAAGCAAGAGGAAAACCGAGAGAAGGAGGTGACCTGGAGGAGCCCAGAGATGTAAGAGCTGACTAGCTACCTCAGGCCTAGTGAGGTTACGTCACGTGAGGATGGAACAGACCTGTGGGTTGAGAGTTTGGACATACGTCATTGGTAATGCTGCCAAGAGCTGCTCCAGTGGAATGGTGGGTCAGGGAGGAGAGAAGAAGGAGACAGCTCTTCAGGACCTTGGCAGTTAGAGGGTCAGATCAGTGGGGCAGGCGTTGGGCCCAGAGAGGAGGGAGCTGTTCCACAGAACTGTTGGAGCCTTGTCCTAGAGAAGAGGAGGGGGAGTGACTCCTGCATTCAGGTGGACCACAGACAGCTCATCTGGACTAACAAGAATGACCACCCCAGTGCAGATCTAATTCTCCTGGGTGACCTCCGTGCCGTGGGGCAGATTCTCCTGGAACACAGAGAAACCCTCAGTTGTGCGACAGCCCCTCCTCCAACCCCGGGAACAACAGCCCAACTAGGGACCTTCTTGGACCTACTCCCAGGCTTAGCTCTCTTGCTCAATTCAGGTGCCTCAAGTTTCTTAGAATTTAGCAGTACTGAAAAGGGTGGCCTCTTCCATGTTCTAAAACCCCAAAGCCTCAGGCCTCTGGAATGAGGAGTCTTTGAAGACCCTTTTAAAAAGCATGTTCCAGGTGCTTCTGGCCTCAGAATCTCTGGTAAGCATAAAATGCAGAGGCTGAGGCCCTGGCCAGTGTGGTTCAGTTGGTTGGAGCGTGGTCCCGTAACTGAAAGGTTGTGGGTTCGATTTGCGGTCAGGGCACATAACCTAGGTTACAGGTTCCATCCCATGTCTGGACATGTAGGATTCCCTGCATCCAAGTGCATATGAGAGGTAGCTAATTGATGTTTCTGTCTCCTTTCTTCTCTAAAAAGTAATGAAAAGATGTCCTCAGATGACAATTTAAAAAAAAAAATGCATAGCGCCAGAACCCACCCCATTGCCCTCTACATTTTCCATTTCATACTGCAGTGGTCCTGATGTCAGAACAGTGTTTGGAAGCTGTGCTTGAGCTCATTTCCTCACACTGTAGGTCACGGGCTCCCCTTCCCTCCCCACATACAGAGTGGCCTGTGGAGCTCCAACTCCCGATGCCTGAACCCCACCCTCAGCAGCTGAATTACAATCTCTGGAGGAGGGTCTGAGCCTCAGTGTCTTTTAAAGCTTTGGGGTGATTTTAGTGTGCAATCAGGGTTGAGAACCACTGCATTCATTGTTTTTCACTGGAATCAAGTAGAAAATACTCGTGCGTGCCAAGGCACTGATGGTAAGGTATTTTGTCAAGCCTTTGTTCCGTTTATACACGCGCGGATCTGCAGGCGTTTTGAGGCCTGTTGCAAAATGTATTTCTTGGAGTTATGGTCAGAAAAGTTTGGAAGCCGCTGCTGGAGTCCAGTCTCCATTTTGCACATGGTAAAACTGAGGACCAGAGAGGTGAGCAAAATCAACCAAGGGTGCATAGCCGGGAGGAGGCTGACCGGACTAAAAGCCAGGCTCCTTATTTCTTAGGTCTTGCTTCCCCCTCTCTGGTCCATACACACTCCTGAAAATAACTGGGAGTCAGGACCCAAACCCAGAGATACATCCCTGTCTCAGGTGTCCTGAATGCTGCAAAGTTTGGGATCAAGAGCCTGAGTGAGGGAAGGGAGTGGGGCTGGGTGAAGCTTTGGGACAGGTTGAGAGTTGCTGCAGTGAGAGAGAGGAAGGTTAGCTTCTTGTTAAAGTTGGTAACATTAGCTAAAGTCTTTTGTGTACTCAGCATGTTCCAGGCAGTGGTGTGCTTTATCTTGTTTATTCCTCACAGTGCGGTGAGGGATTAAATGAGGACTGTTACTGTCCCTGTTTCACAGATGAAGTGAAGGGAGAGAAATGGAGCAAGTACTCCAAGAATCACGGCCAACAATTCGTGTGCCAGAGTGATGCCCACATTGTTAAGTGCCTCACAGTGGGCCCCAGAGGCAGGCACACGTGGGTGAGGCCTCCATGCTCTCTCTGCAGGGGATACCTCTGTCCTGGCGGGGGTGTACGGGCCAGCTGAGGTGAAGGTCAGCAAAGAAATCTTCAACAAGGCCACACTGGAAGTGATCCTGAGGCCGAAGATCGGGCTGCCTGGTAATTGGGTCTGCAGTTGTCCCTGCTGTGGAGAACCCCTGCCCAGCTCCTCCCTCACTGCTGTCTTGTCTGTGTTTCCCCTCAGCAACTTCTCTTTCTTCCTCCAACTCTTCCTCTCTCTGTCTCTCTGAGTCTTCCCTTCCCCCCCTCTTTCCTGGCTCCATCTCCCCTTTCCATTAACATGTTTTGATGCCCTCCCATCTCCCTCACTCCTGGGGACTGGCCCACTGGGTTGGGCTTGGGCAGCAGCACAGAACATGGGAACTCTGGGATTTTCCTCCCCCAGGCGGCTCCCTTGCCAGATGCTGGCAGTGGCAGGGGTGGGGTGGGTAGTATAGGGAACCAGTTTGCCTGGCAATGACAATTATAGCTCAGCCCTATTGAAAAACCCGTAGGCGTGTGGCAGCACAGGATGCCAAACCCACAGATTGGTTCTCCCATGGGGAATCAGGCCTGCATTCTACCTAGGCTGCTTTGTGACTTGCTCTTGCTAAAACTCCCTCACCCTGAGTTGAAGCAGCAAATGCTTACTGCATATCTTTAAAGCATATCTTATCCTGAAGTCTGTGCCAATTCTCCCAAGGATTGAAGTGTAACCAGACCAATTACTCTTATCATTGCCTTGCATTTGCAACATTTTTTCTTTGTTAATCTGTAAGAAATAATCAGTAACATCCCTTCCGTTGCTATCTGTAAAAAGTAATTACCTAAAGCAAACCTAAGTATAATAAATGAAAACCTTCTTTGATGTATGCTATTAGAAAGCCGACCCTTGCCCTGTCAAGGCAAGAGTCGGGGCACTCTCCCCTTGAGAGAGTGGCTATACTATCCCTTTTCCTCCACAGGATTCGGTAGTCCGTGTGAATTTATCTCATCCATAACGCCGCGGACGCTGCTGGCCGGTGTCCATGTCAGGGTGGCAGCCAGACCCTACCTCCTGCCCATTGGGAATCCTGTGCCATCCCCACAGGGTCCTGCACCAACCCAGGCTGAGACTGTAGGCCCCTTACAGAGGCTTGGGTGACACATGTGAAGGAAGAGAAAAGCCTGACCCCTTCCCACCCCTTATTTCCCCAGGTGTAGCAGAGAAGAGCCGGGAGCGGCTGATCAGGAACACGTGTGAAGCGGTGGTGCTGGGGGCCCTGCACCCCCGCACCTCCATCACCATCGTGCTGCAGGTCATCAGTGATGCTGGCTCTGTATCCTTTCCCCCAAGCTGCCTCCTCCAAGAAGTCCTCCAGAATCTCCTTAATTTTCCTAATTTCCTCCCTTGCTGATGGCCATATATATCCTCTGCTAGCCAGCAGACCTCCAAACACTTGACAGGCACCAAACCAACTTGTTGAAAAAGAACAGCAAACAACTTGAGTGCTTACTGTGTGTGGAGCACTATTCTAAGTGCCTTACACATGTCAACTCATTTAATCTGCACAGCAAATTCAACTCACATAAATAGTAATTGGCAGAGCCAGGACTTGAACCCACACTGTTTGGTTCCAGAGCCCAAGGCCTCTAGCAGACTGATGTTCTTATGTTCCCATGTTTCAGGGGAGGAAGCTGAGGGCCAGAGGGGGGAAGTCACTTGTCCAAGGTCACACAGCTGAAGGCAGCAGAGACAAAACTGTGGCTCAGGCCTGTCTGACTCCAAAGCCTGTGCTACTGACCTCCACTTTGACCCTGAGGTGTTTTTGTTTTGTGTTTTTAAGGTTTTATTTATTTTTAGAGAAAGGGGAAGAGAGAGAGAGAAACATCAATCTGTTGCTTCTAGTACATGCCCCAGCTGGGGACCAAACCTGCAACCCAGGCGTGTGTGCTGACCGAGACCCCGCCAGTGATCTTTGCAGGACAACGCCTGACCAACTGAGCCACAACAGTCAGGGCTGACCTGGGGGAGCCCTGAGCTAGCAGGGTAGGGCCAACAGCCCATCCTTGAAAGACTCCCATGGCTTGGGTGACACGTTGAGGCTGAGGGCCTCACTGGGGCAGGCACTTCACAGATAGGAGGGGTGGGCTGTTGTAGCCCCCTTGCACAGGGGAAGTGAGGCTCGGTAGGAGGTCACAGAGGGTCAGTGGCAGAGGTGGGATGAATTCCACAGCTGGGCCCTTACCCTCTGTGCTAGACCTGGGCAGCCAGCTGAGGCAGGGCCAGGTATCTGGCTAGGCCCTGTGCTCACCTTCCACTGTGCCATGGCCTCACTTCTCCCCTGGATGGCCGGCCCCCTGAGGCAGCGGTAATGACCCTTCCCACCACCTCCCTGCCAGTCTGTCACTGGTGGCAGCTGCCAGATTCCCAGGCTCCAGGCCTGGCTCTGCCAGTACCTCCCATGTGATCTGGAAGTTTTCTTCCCCTCTCTGCCCTTGGTTTCCCTAGAGGTGCTTGGCATCTGCCAGTGTATATTTGTTGAATATTCTGATCCCTGATTGAGGCTCAGAGAGAGTAACTCACCTGCTCAAGGTCACAAGTTAGTTCTGGAACCCAAGGCTATGTGATCCCAGAACCACTTAGAAAACTGCTATGCTGCCTTCCTGTGGTCAGTCACTGATGCTGCCACCGCACGGCCTGGGGGGTTGGAGGCAAGGGCCAGCCCTGCAGTGGGAACTCTTAACTGCTGCTTGTGGTGCTCAGCTCCTGGCCTGTTGCCTCAATGCTGCCTGCATGGCATTAGTCGATGCAGGTGTGCCCATGCAGGCCCTCTTCTGTGGGGTCACCTGTGCCCTGGATACTGATGGGACCCTCATGCTGGACCCCACAGCCAAGCAAGAAAAGGTAAGTGTGAAGGCCAGGGTGGCTAAGGGCCGTGGCAGACCCTGACCCTCTCCTGTAGGCCACACTTTCCCACCACAGTCGGCTCACACCACCCCAGTCCCAGCTGACAGACTCCACTCTGTTCCTCAGGGCAGGTGCTGGAAAGAACAGAAATTGAGCCAGGGCCTTGGACTCCATCAGGATTTCCTTTGCATTTGTTAGTGCCTGCTCTTTTCTGCAGCCGGCTCCATTACTTCTGTCCAGTATCTCTCCTGAGGCTATGATTGGCCACTTTAGCTGTGCTTATATCTTAAGAGGCTCAGAAGCACAGGAAGAGAGAGCATTCCTCATCAGCTCAAGTTCACAGTATCCTGGGACTGTGGTTACTCTGAGTTATTTGCCCACTCACATCCAGTCAGGAAAGCAGAAACCACTGGGGGATTTCCAGCAGAGAGTTTAATGCAGGGAACTGGTTACAACAGTCAGTGTTGGAAGAGCTGAGGGAACAAAAGGAAAAAGACATCAGGAGCCTATAGCCAGCTCGTGCCTGTGCTATTGGAGGCATCGCTGCAGTCAGTTGTGCCTACGCAGACCTGGCTTTGCCCTGTCTGCAGAAGTCCAGGGCCCACTGCACCCCACTGCCACTGTCAGAGTAAGGACCTGGGCGCTGGTTTCCCTCCTGCCAGTATCCCACCAGAGCACAGGTGGAACCTAACTTCTAGAGGCAGGTGGAAAACGGATTTTTTATTTTGCCAGCTTCATGCCTCAGCAGTACAGAGCACAAAAGTTAGGAGGCGCCAGGTAAATGAGGTGCACTCTGGCTTCCCCTGCAGGGCAGGAGTACTGCCTGGAAGCCCAGCAGAACCCTGTGGTTGGAATCGGTTGTAGAATCCAGGGGGAAAGCTGGGACTGGTGGTCCCTAGGTAGACAACCACACTGGATGCAGGGGTACCTGGCTTTGGGAAAGGCAAGTCCTTTCTTCGGGGTCAGTCGACATTGTGTCTGAAGGAACAGCTCAGGTCCCCCACCTTCTATCCCTCATCCCTAGGAGGCCCGGGCAGTCCTGACCTTTGCACTCGACAGCGTGGAGCAGAAGCTACTCATGTCCACCACCAAGGGACTCTTCTCTGATGCTGAGGTACCAGCATGTGGATGCAGGGGAACCCCAGATCTTCCCTCCCCCCAACATGTCCCAACTCTGCCCTGCCCTCAGAGGTTCGAGGAGAGCCCCTCCATGAGCCCTCTGTGAATAGGAGTTTGCAAACTTTGTAGCCAAGAAACCTTTGTGGGAATTTTAAAAGGGAAGCCTGTCCTGGCCAGTGTGGCTCAGTTAGGAGGTTGTCCTGTGGACCAAAAGGTCACAGGTTTGATTCTGGGTTAGGGTTACATACCCAGGTTGCGGGTTTGATTCCTGGTCGGTTGGGGCGCATGCGAGAAGACAGCCAGCCAATCAGTATTCCTCTTTCACATCAATGTTTCTCTAAAAGCAATGAAAAAAATGTCCTCAGATGAGGATAAAAGATTGGTGGGGGAGCCCAATTATGAGATAGGAAAAGAGGAGTTCAGGCTGAAATCAGGAGGGGAGGGGGGTGTACCAGAATGAGGGAATCCCCATTCCGGGCCTGAGGAGTTTGGAAACTTGGGGCAAATGGTCTCCAGGAGCATTTCCAATCTGGAGCTCCCAAGAATCGAGCCACATGTGGGGTCTCAGTTAAGATTTGGGGTCTCAGATTCTGTGGCTCCTAACGTCATCCGGAGTCACAGGGCCTGTGCCTCTAAAATTCCAGGTTTTCTGCAATTTCATGAGCTCTTAAGTTTCCAGAGCTCTGGTCTATTCCAGCTGTCAGGATGCCTGATCCCATTGGATTGAGGCCCTGGAGCTGATGGAAGCTGGCCCCTGCATCCCTCACCTTTTCTTTTTTTCTTCTTGTCCCCTCTAAGAGGCCCTGGAGTGGGGAAGAAGGAGATGCATTTGGAATATTCCCCTCCCCACCTGCCTCACCTGGAGGATGGCGGGGTGGGGGGCTGTCCAGGTGAAGAGGGAGGTGGTCGGTTTGGGGGCCCTAGAAACCAGGTGAGCCCACTGGCCCTGCACCAGTGCAGGGACGGGCCTGTGCTGACCAGTCTCTCCCACGCAGCTCCAGCAGTGCCTGGCTGCAGCCCAGGCTGCCTCGCAACACGTCTTCCGCTTCTACCGGGAATCGCTGCAGAGGCGGTACTCCAAGAGCTGAGGCAAGCTGGGGCAGGGCGCCCCTCCCACTGCCACCACCCACCACTACCTCTGGCGCAAAATAAACCAGCAGCCCATCCTTGTCTCTCTGTCCTCGTGTATCCAAGGAGAGCTTGTGGGCCTGTAGCTGCAGGGCCACCTGAGGAGTGCTCCTGACTGCAGCCCCTGTGGTTTGGGGTGAGGGGACATGGACACCCCACACCCACAGGAAAACATTACTAGGATTGCACAGTTAGTGAATGAATTCATTTTGTCTAATAAATGTCTGTTGAGCACCTACTTGTGCAGTCCCTGCTAGGTGCTGAGGGCCCAGAATTGGTGTTTGTCAGATGATGGTAAATGCTGTGGCAAAACAAAAAGCAGGGAAGAGGGGTTTGAGCACCTTTGGGTGGGAAAGGCAAATTTAATACATCAGTCAGGGACACCTTCACCGAGAGGGGGACACCTGAGGGAAGCCAGGAGGAAGCCAGGGAGTGAGCTCACTGACATGGGGGACAAGCCCCAGAAAGAGACCTGTTGAGGACCAGCAAGGCAGCCAGTGTGGCTGGAGCTGTGCCTGTGAAGGCAGGAGAGAGAAGGTCAAGCCAAGAATGGGGGCCCAGAGGGGCCTCTGAGCCTGACAGCCCAGTAAGGTGGGGCTGTTATTGTAGCCCACATTTTAGAATGAGAAAACAAGGTCAGAAGCCACTCAGCTGCCAGAGGTCCCCGGCTAGTCAGCAACGCAGTGTGGGTCCCACTTAGCCTAGCCCCAGGCCCTCGCTGTTCAGGCAAACCAGGGAGAGGCCAGCACACTAGACTGGGGTTTACCATCCGTACACAGAAGTTGGTTTTCAGGACTGGTAGCACCCCCTAGGGGGCATTTTTAGTTGCCACTTGACTGCTCCCCAACCTTTATTTGGTGGGCAAGAATGTGTGAGCATCAACAAGGGTTAACCCACTTGTGAGCCACATGGTTGCTGGGTCCCGGCAGCCAGTGGTGTTTGGGGGGTTGTGATGGGCCCTGTGCTGCGTGCTTCACGTGCCTGAACTAGCTCACCAAGTTCCCACAGCTGCCCCTCTGGGCGGTGTCATTTTCATCCCAGGAAATGGAAGGAAATGCATGAATATCTTTAGCTTGCAATTATACTCCATGGAATACCAAATGGGGAAGAGTTCAGGAAGACCCACTGGAATGGTATTAAATGGAGTTAGAACCAAACTGTCACTCCATTACTGGGTAATACTGAACCCCATTTAGTGAACACATCTGCCCCTCTGCTAGCACTGCTTTCAGCAGACACTCCTTTCGACCAGCACTTTGATGCTACCTAAAGGCCCCATCCATGCCTGCTCCCCACCCCCTCCACTGGCAGGCTGTATAATGCATTTGGGGCTGCTCTTGAGGGCTCCTGGGGTGCTTCCAGTTGGCTAGGGCCATTTTTCTCCCCACAAGAGGGAGCCTGCATGGAATGAAGCCAAAAGGGAAAGAGGTCCGAGGAATGAGACCAGACCATTTCACTTGAGCCCCTGAATCCTGCTCTACCTCAGCTTTCTCCCCTTTGTGTGTGTGTGTGAGGTGATCGGAGTTGAGTTTCTGCCACTTGCTGTACAAAGAACTCAGAAGGAGACTTCCTTTTACATCTGTGGACCATTTCCCAGGTGGGGAAAAATGAGGCTCAAAGAATGTGACCTTGGGCCAAGGTCATACAGCGGCCATATGGAGGAGTAAGTCCTTGGCACCCAGCTCTGTAATTCTCTGCTGACTGCTCTAAGTTGTGAAGAGACCATTCTGTAACTGGGAAACCCCCACCCCTCGGGTTCCCCTTCTCCAGCTCTGAGGTGTTCAGGAGCACCCTGGGGATGGTCTGTCAGGTGCCCCCAGCCCCACCTGCCCCCCACAGACTGACACAGGTCTGACTGCAAGAGTGTCCAATGTTTAATCTCACATTGTAGCAGCCGGGAAGGGTAGAGGGTTGTACAGTTTGGTCCCATTGCTGGACGCTGCCACCGCCACATCCACCTGGATTCTCTACTCTGCCTGTGTCCTCTCTGGACCACCAGCCTCTGGTTCCCAGTGAGGGCCACAGGGGAGCTAGGGCGGGTCTCGGGAGGCCAAGTAGGCAGCGAGGGTCACCAGGGCTGCTGCGTACGTGCACACACCCAGCCCGATGGCCAGGACCCCCAGCAGGAAGGCGCGGCGGGAGGCGGCCCCTGCCCCCTGGACATCCCCCTTGGCCCAAGCCTTGTTGGTCTGTGAAGGTGTTGGGCATTAGTAAGTCAGGCAGCCCTTCTGCCCACCCTGCTTCCTGAAGCCCCAGCCCCTTCCCCACAGGACACACCCATGCATTCATTCCTACATCCCCAAAACAGGGAGCATCTCCTGGGCACTGGGGGTACCGAGTGACTAATAAGGTGTTAGTGTCTGCCACTGCCCTATTCTAACTCATTTGATCCACACAGTGACCATGAGGCACAGAGAAATTGTGGCTTGCTCACAGAGAGTGGCAGGCCTAGGGTTTAACTTCAGGTTTTTAACCACCACTTCGCAGCCCTCTGTGTAACACGCCTCATTTTACCCCTGAATGTTTCCATGTGAATCCTCTCCATGTCTTCCCCTAGCCCCAGGCATAGGTGCTGTTTTGTTTTCTTGTTCCTTGAATGCATTTTTCTTTTACATCCAGTCCCCTCCCAGCCCCACACACAGACTGACCTTTTGGGCCAAGCAAAAGGCAGCAATGCCCACCGGCCAGAAGCAGCACAGCACGGAGAAAACAGCCAAGCCCAGGTGGTCATGGGGTAGGAGAGGGGAGAGAAGGCTGTCCCTGTCCCAGTCCGAGTCGCTGTCACTTGATGCATCCTACAGGCAGGAGAGAGCCTGGGTGGGCATCTCCCACCTCCCCTGCCCCAACGCTCTGCTCTGCACAGCCCCCAAAGACCAACACCAGGGCCTCCCCAGAAATACCAAGACAAAAAATGTTTCAGGACACAGGCTCTTGACTTTTCTGTATCTTCAAGCCCTTTGAGGGAAGCTGTGAAGCTTGTCTCCAGAGAAGAGCCACTCCCACCCACCCACTCCCAAAGCTCTGAGTTAATGCTGCTGAGGTGGGGACAGACACCAATAGGGGCAGGAGTCTGCAAAAGATGAAGAAACAACTCTGGTGGCCTAAGTTACTCAGACAAACCTGCCTCCTGAAACTATTGATTCTACATTTAAAAAAAAATTTTTTAATCTTGCATCAAACAGCTCATAAGAGTAAGGAGTCATTGTGAGGCTGAAACTAAAATGAAAATGGTAAACAGGCCAAATGAACCAAAAGGCCTCTTTTGCCCTTCCTGGGAAGGTATATGCCAATCCCAGAAAAATTAACCTTTCTATCAAGCCTAGAAATTAAAGATGATCTTTAACGCTAATGCCCTCAGGCAGCTCACAGAAGCAAAGCAAGTCCTCTCTGGAGGAAGGTACCTTCATTCTAGACCTCAGAATAATTTTTCAGACATGATGACCAGCATGCAGTCAAAGATAACCAGGAACGTAAGGACTGTGAATGAGAATGAGCAGAAATAATTAGACCTCCAAAATCTTCAAACAATGGAATTATTAAGCACATACAATGTCAGCGTGATGCCTATTGTGACAATGTGGCAGATTTTTCCAAAAATGGCCGCGACCATCTCTTGAATCCCATATGCTCTTCTGACGGTGACTGATACTTTTCCCATCAAAGGTGAGGTTTGGGTCCCAGTTACTGGAATCTGGAGAGGCTGTGACTCACTCATGATTGATGGAATGTAGTGGAAGTAATGTTACATGACTTCCTAATCAGAAAAGGTGAGGCAGCTCCCGCTTTGCTGAGACATTCATGCTGCAGACCAGGGGCACATGAGTCCAACTGCCCTCAAGCTGCCATGCTGGAGGGAAGCCCAAACCAGCCCACGTGGGGAGACATGTGGAGACCCCAAGACTACATGAAGAGAGATACCAGCCAGCCCCCGGCTGCTTCAGCCCCCTGACTGCTCCAGATCTCAGCCACTGGCTCCACTGCAACCCCATGAAAGACCCTGAGGCAGGACCACTCAACCGAATGCTGCCCAAATTCCTGACCCAAAGAAACCATGAGTGATAACAATGGCTGCTGTTGTTTTAAACTACTAAGTTTTGTAGTGATTTCTTCTACAGCAATAGGAACAGGGAAGCCATGTTTACAAAATAAAAGACAAGGAATAAGAAATGACAAAAGTGACAATTTTCTAAAAAGAGACCAGGGCAGACAGAGGCCACAGGTGAGCTGGCTCTGGAAAGAGATGGACAGACAGCAGAGGAAAGACATAGCCAAAGGCTAGGGAACAAAGATAAGAGGCAAATATGAAGAAAAAGAGCTAAAGAATGCAGGGGAGATGGAGAACATAAACAACAGCCAGATATCTAGGAAACCCACTCAGAAGTGAGACTCCAGGCCAAAGGCAGGTACCTCAGCTGCCAGCCTATCAAATGTTGACTGTAGCTGGGATCTCCCACATCCCCTCCCCTTGCTCCCTCTAAGGCCCGTTTCTCCTACCTCAAGGTCAGGGTGCCCTGGCTGCCCCAGACCAGTGCTCACAGAGGGAAGAGGTGGTGGCAGAAACTGCCAACCCCTTAGGGACTCTGCAAAAGCTGTCTCTCCAAAGAGGGGATCTGGCTCAGGTTCTCCAGGCTTCTGGACAGGGCAGGTGGAGCCTACACCTGCCAGCAGAGGCTGTTGCAGTTCTGGAAGACTGGGGCTGTCCATGGCTGGGGAGGGGTTCCCAGAGGTGCTTCCTTGGGTAGGGAAAAGAAAAGGACAAGTTGTGAAAGTCTCACCTTCATCCTTCCCCTGACTCCTGACTCCAGAGAGACTTGACAGGTCAACAACCCTCAGACCCACTTCACAGAGAATAACACTGAGACCCAGAGAGTAAAAGAGGCTGGCCCAAGTCGTAAAGAGAATTCAGGGGACTGGACATTCAACTCTGGGCCTCTCTATCCTCAGCCAAAAACCACATAACTGTGGCACACTTATTCCAAACTATGTTTTACACATTTACTTACCCAATGAACTACACACCCATCCTGGTTTCACACACCATCCCTCTCCCTCACACCCCTCCCCAGTGACACTTTGCATTTTACTCTGGTTCACACTCCCTGTGCCCCCCAAGCCTACACACTCTAAATACCCAAGTCCCCGGCCTCACATACCCATCCAGGCAAGCCCAACCCCTACCTCCATCTACACGCATTCATCTCCCAAGGGACTCCTTGCATACTTAGCCCCGGCAACACCTTCCAGAAAACACCCTCTGGAGCCCCCAACCTTCTTACACACTCATTCTAAGTGACTCCTTGCACACTACCATCTCTCCAGAAGAGATTCCCCCATATGTAAACATACGTACAAGTATCCAACACTCTCCCCTGTTCCCATTACTTCCCTTGCACACCTGCCAGCACCCCTGCCTACTCCATCCACATCGGTAACCCCACACAACCTCTCACGCTCCGACCAGCTCCCCAGGCACCTCCTGTTTTACTAGAATCTACCTTGGCTCACCTACCCCATAACACCCCCCACCCACCACTTGTACATACTCAAAATAAACTTGTACATACTCAGCAAAGAATATTCTCGCCCCACGGTCCCCCTGGGGGGTCCTCCTAAGCCTCCTCCTCTCACTCCAAACCTGTTTTAAGCCGACTTCCTCGCCAAGGGTTTGTCTCCCCAACCCCAATGCTAGGAACCGGGGGAGGGGAGGTGTCCCCTAACTGCGCTCCTCACTCACCGCTCACGGCCCGATGCCAGGACCTCCCGGGCCCCTGAACCGACACCTGCTCCGACTCTACCGGTCGGGTATGCGGACTTCAGTTAGCCCCACGCTGCCCGGCCCAAGCCTGGGGTTGCAGGGTCTGCACGTTCCAATCAGCTCCCTTCTATCGCCTGGGTCCGCAGCGCCCGGGGGCTGGGTGGGGGCGGGGCGGCAATCTCCGGGCTCCGCCCTCCTCCGCGGAGGGAAGGGGCCCTGGAAGGTGGACGTCAGCGCGAGACGCGGCAGTAGGGGGCGGAGGAGGGGAGCCTGAATCTTCCAGGGTTTTCCTGGCTTGGCCCTGCCTCTACCCACCTCCACCACCCCCTGCTCTATGATAACAGCCATCCACACCAACTGTGTGCAGGGAATACAGATGCACATGTAGCCTCAGAACGACCTACGAGACACTCTCATTTATTGTTCTGTTGTACACAGGAGGAAACCGGCACAGAGAGCTTCCAGGTCACAGAGTGCAGACGTCATCGCACTGATTCCTCTCAGTAGCTCTATTTCTATCCCCATTTTGCAGATCAAAAAACTGAGACTCAGAGATGTGTGCTCCCTTGGCCTAGCAGCTTGTAACCCAGAGCTGTATTCCTTGCTGGTCAAGGTGAGGGGAGGAAGCAGAGACAAAAGGTGGGGCGGGGGCTTCTGAGGAAAGGGGGCTGAGCTGGGAGTGAGCTGGCGATGAGGCGATGTGCTGCTTATCAGACAGTACAGGTGGTGGATGAGTCAGTGTTTGGACCCACAGGGACCTGAGTTTCTTTCCAGGCTCTTCAAAACACTGGCTGTGTGACCTCTGGAAAATAGTCACTTCTCTGAACACCAATTTCTTCATCTGTAAAATGATGTAAAGATTCCTTGTCTGTTAGAGGCGACAATATATGTAAACCACTAACCACAAATTAGGTGAGATAAAAATGTCCAATATTTACCCAAAACCTGGCAAAATAAGCACTGGAAACATGTTTGTATGAATATTATTTATGTCCACCTCCATCAGTCTGACTAGGGAACTTGCCTTATCCTGCCCACCTCCACTGTCTTCAGGGAGTCCACCAGGCTTGCACTGGCTTCCCCTTCCCAGAAGCCCTCCATTTCACCAGTGCCAGTCAGTCAAACTGGAGGCTTCCCCTGCCTGATGTGGGGCTAGCCAGAGTTCCCTCACACCAGGGCTCCGAGGTTGTTTTGGCTGCCAAGAGTCCAAACACTGGAGCTGGCACTGGCCCCACTCCCAGGAGGAACACTTGAATAAACCAGAGTTTCTGGCAAATGACAGGCAGGCAGGGAGATCCACGTGAGGGTAGATGAGAGGGAAGAGGGAGCAGGATTATTTTATCTGGGAGAGCTACCCTGTTATTCTATCTCCTTATCCCCTCTGGTTTTTCATCTCATTTATAACTATGAAACATATTACAGTAGTCTCTTTATCCACAGGAGACATGTTCCAAGACCTAGGATGGCCTGGGGGGACGAGGATGGGTGCCTGAGACTGTGAGTAGTACCAAAACCTTCATATACAGTGTTTTTTCGATATGGACATACCTACCTATTATAAAGTTTAATTTATAAATTAAGCAAAGTAAGAGACTAACAACAACAACTAATAAGAAAATAGAACACATAACAATATGCTGTCATTAAAGTTACACGAGTGTAGCCTCTCAAAACATCTTGTCTGGTACTCGTCCTTGTGGTGACGTGAGACAGTGCGATGCCTGCATGATGAGGTGAAGGGGGGGTGGATGGCGAAGGCATTGTGACTCAGTGTTAGGCTGCTACTGACCCTCTGAGGAGAAGGATGCCGTGGACACAAGCACTTCGATGTGTGACAGTCGATCTGACAACAGAGAGGGCTACTAAGTGACCGATGGGAGGACAGCGTGGACAGCGTGGATAGGCTGGACAAAGGGGTGATTCACATCCTGGGCGGCAGGGAGCCGGATGTTGTAAGATTCCATGCCATTCAAAACGACGCGCAATTTAAAACTTAGCAATTGTTTATTTCTGAAATTTTCCACTTAATATTTTCAGACAGTGGTTGGCCTCAAGTAAATGAAAGAGCAGAAAGCAAAACCAGGGATGGGAGGTGGAGGGCTACTGTATTTCTGTTGTTTGTAGTTTGAGTCTTCCCACATCATTGTTAGCTACGGGAGGCCTGAGATTTGCTCGATTTTGTTTGTGGCTGTGCCTCAGGGCCTGGAACAGCGCCTGACACAAAGTAGCCCTTCATACTTATTTGTGGGATTGGGGCATGAGTGCCCACTGGCCTCAGTTTTTCACTGACTCCCTACACTCTGTGGGTCCCTCATCCCCTTGGGCCACCCTAACCATCTATTCTCTTCCATTTAGATGTCTCTGGCCACCACTGGCCTTGTACCGTCTCCCCAACCCCACCCCTTTCACGAGATAACAAGAGACCCAGGCCTCTTAGAGTTTGCAATGATCCTAGAATATTAGACATGAGATTCCACCCAGAATCATCAATGGAGGCTTAAACCATTGATGAAAGTTCAGTGAGAAACAGGACACTTATCTAGTCTCAAAGTTCTTCCCACAGGTGACCTGTTTACTACAAAAGGAAAATATAGTGTTAGTGCAGAATATTGGCAGACATCACCTTAACCAGGTGATAGAAGTTAACATCACCAGCAATGCAACAAACTGACATCATGTGCCTCCTGATGTGCACTGAGAAGGACATAACATAATCTCTGTGGTTTTCCTGCCAAAAAATCCATCATCTGAATCTAAACTTGAGAGAACATGAGACAAAGCCAGATTAAGAGACAGTCTGTTAAGTAGCTGGCTGGCCCTGACTGGTGTGGCTCACTTGGTTGATCATCGACTTGCAAAGCAAAAGGTCACTGATTCAATTCCTAGTTGGGCACATGTGTGGGTTGCAGGTTTGGGTACAAGAAACAACCAACTGATGTTTCTCTCCTTATCTTTTTTCCCTCTCCCTTCCCCTCGTTCTAAAAATGAAAGAAAGAAAGAAAGAAAGAAAGAAAGAAAGAAAGAAAGAAAGAAAGAAAGAAAGAAAGAAAGAAAGAAAGAGAAAGAAAGGGAGGGAGGGAGGGGGAAGGAAGGAAGGAAGGAAGGGGAAAGAACAAAGGAAAGAAAGAAAAGAGAAAAGAAAAGAAAAGAAAAGAAAAGAGGGAAAGGGACAGGGAAGGAGAGAGAGGGAGAGAGAGAGAGGAGCTTGGCTGTGCTCTTCAAAAATGTCAGTATCATTCTCCTCCATCTTTCCGTGTCACCAAAACGGTGGGCATGAATGTCCTGGCTGATGCTCTCAAGAGTATCCACAGTGCCAAAACGAGGGGCAAACACCAGGTTCTTATTAGGCAGTACTCCAGAGTCATCGCCCAGTTTCTAATTGATGATGAAGCATGAGCACATTGGTGAAATTTGAAATCACTGTTGATCACAGAGCCAGAAAAATTATTGTAAAACACACGGGCAGGTGAAACAGTGCAGAGTGAGCGGATTTGATGTGCCATTCGAAGATCTAGAAAAATAGAACAACATACTCCCATCCTGTCAGTTTGATTTCATTGTACCGGGCACCTTGGCAGGTATTATGGTCCGTGATGAAGCAAGAGGAAAAACATAGGAGGGAAAATCTGGGATTCTTTTCCTAGGGATGTAATACGTACATGCAAAATTTTTAAAATTTATTTTATTTATTTATTTTTAGAGAGAGTGGAAGGGAGGGAGAAAGAGAGGGAGAGAAACATCAATCACACACCCTGTACTGGGGACCTGGCCTGCAACCCAGGCATGACTGGGAATCAAACCGGGGACCCTTTGGTTCTCAGGCCCACACTCAATGCATTGAGCTACACCAGCCTGGGTTGTATACACAAATTTTAAAAAGTCTATTAACCAATGCCACTCCAATACATTTAATAAAAAGGTAAAATAAAGAGCTTGATTAAGCCTGTAAAAACATGTCAATGTAATAAAAAAACAAAACAATAACAAAATTTAAAACCTGGCAGGCCTGTTCTAGATTCAAGGTGACTTAGGAAATGTGACAACTAAGAACAAAGTATGATCCTGGATAGATGGCAGATAGTGATAAAATATGTTATTGGGAACAATGGGGAAATTTTGAACATAAACTATGAATTAGATAATTTTATATCAATGTTAAATTGGTTCAGAAAATATTAAATTGGCATTATGATTATATAGGAGCATTCCCCACCCCCACCTTGTTCTTAGGAGAATTTTACTTCTGGAAATAATGTTTCTCTGGCTGGTGTGGCTCACTGGTTGAGTGCCAGCCTGTGAACCCAAGGGCTGCTAGTTCAAATCCCGGTCTAGGGCACATGCCTGGGTTGTGGGCCAGGTCCCCAGTAGAGGGCATGTGAGAGACAACCACACATTGATGTTTCTCTCCCTCTCTTTCTCCTTCCCTTCCACTCTCTCTAAAAATAAATAAATAAAATCTTTTTAAAAAACAGGCAAAGTGAACCGGCATTATTAGAAATCCATTTAGTGGTTACCATTAGGAGGCATCCTGGGAAGCTGCTGGTGTTCTTGAGCCAAGCTCTAGTTACCACTTTAATTCAGTTTATAAAATTTAATCCAGCTCTTCATTTATGATATGTACACTTTTCTGTACATATACTTAAAAACAGTGTTTTTTTAAAAGAGTGAATTAGATATTTATACATAGACATAAATTCCCCAGATGTATCACTGAGTGAAAAAAGCAAACTGTAAAACAATATATACACTCACTATGGAAAACAGTCTAGCAGTTCCTCAAAACATTAAAAATGGACTAAACATATGACCCAGCAACTCCACTTCTGGGTATGGACCCAAAGAAGTGAAAGCAGGGTCTTGAAGAGAGACTTGTACATCCATGTTCACAGCAGCTCTACTCACAGCAGCTGAAGGGTGAGAGTAACCCAAGTGCCCACCAACCGATGAGTGGAAAAACAAAGTGGGGCATATACAATGGAGTGGTATTCAGCCTTGAAAAAGCAGGAAAATCTGATATTCACAATCACATGGATGATTCCTGAAACATAATGCTAAATGAAATAAGCCAGGGATAAAAGGACAAACACTAAATGATTCTACGTATATGAGGTACATGGAGTAGTCCAATTTCTAGAGACAGAAGGTAGAATGGTGGTTACCAGGGGCTGGAGGAAGGGAGAGGGGCAGTTGCTGTTTCATGGGTACAGAGTTTCAATTTTACAAAAAAAAAAAAAAAAATAGCCCTAGAGACTGGTTGCATAATTATGTGCATACACTTAATGCCACTCACCTGTACACTTAAAAATGATTCAT